TAAATTATAAATTAAATTTATTATTCAAAAAATATTTTAAATAATACTCCCTCCATTTCACGTTGGATGTCTGAGTCAATGTAGACACGAAAATTTATGATAAGTATAATTAGTAGATAATTAAAAATGTATTAGTGAAAATAATTATCATATAATATAAATAATTATAAATTAAGATTAAGATAACTAATTAAAATAAAAAATTAAATTTAAAAAAGTAGTGTGTAATTATTTTCCAAAAAAGGAAAGTAACATGTGATGTGAAATGGACAGAAATTGCAGTATGGACATGGTAAGTGAGACGAATGGAGTATTATTAAAATATTAAAAATTGATTATTTTTTATATTATAAAATAATTGTAAAAAAAATATTTTTGTTGAATTATAAATATATATATTTTTATCAAATAATTTTAACCAAAAAGTTAAAATAATAATAAATATGACCTACAATATGATTATATTGAAAATATGGTCGTGAACGTGGCCTAAAAAACATGGTTGTGTTGAGAACATGGGCAGGAACATGGCTGTGTTTGAGAACATGGGCAGGAACATGACTGTGTTCAGAACACCGACAGGAACACGGACAGGAACACGGCCGTGTTCAGAAATGCAGGGTAATCAACACGATCGTGTCACTGTCTGGGACGCCCAGTCACCTTCTGAGTCATTCAACACGGTCGTATTCAAGCCAACAGGACCGTCTTCAGTCTCAATCAACCGATTTGGGACTAAAATTTATAAATTGTTACTTGAGTGGGACCAAAATTAATAATTTTTTTAATGAGACCAAAATTAATAATTATGATATTGAATGGGACAAAAAAATAATTTTTGCTCTATATTATATATATTGAAAATAGTGTTGATAAAATATTAGTTGAACAAACAAATTCAACAATTTTTAATTATAATATTAAACCAACTATCAAGTAAACAAAAACCTTTATTAAATTTTATTTTTATTTTCGCATAAATTTATTTTTAGTTTTATTTTCTACTCAAAATATAATAGTCAAAAAGTTTGACTTTACATTTTACTTTATTAGTTTTTCCATATATACTTTTTCCTTGCAAAGGAATGTACCTATTTGACTTTTTATAATATATTAAAAGATAACACTACATAAGTCCCATAAGGACACTATTTGCTTTTGCATGATTGTAGTTAATATTCAAATTAATTTTATATTTGTATAATTTACTCGACAAACGTTATTGTATTTGTATTATAAAAGATCAAATTATTTTGTAATTTTCTCTTGATTTGCATTACATATTGATATAATAATTGATATTCAAATATCAACGTGCAAAAAATCATAGTACGACGAAAGTAGTACTAATATTTTATTTTATATTTTATTAAAATTTTATTATATAATTAAAGTGAAAGAACAAGTGGCATCTCTTGATTGGATTGTATATATAGGAGGGGTTGAGCAGAAGAATATGGTAACTAAACCCTCGAATAACACAACAAAATATTTTAAAAATAAAATATAAATATTTTTAATTTTTGTTTTATATATAAACGGTTAATATCAACTATTTGTTTTATCAAATCAATTAATTAAATCAACTAATAATTATCAGCTAATTACCAAACAAACTATATACGCTAGTTGAAAGTTAAGTTATCATTGTAGAATGTTTCTAAACACCATAAAAGCTAGTTATGCAATATCTTCACCATGAAGAAGATGGAAAAATTCGATCTAAAATAAAAAATTAATATTTTATCATTCTAAAAATCTACTCTTCTCTACCCATGGCCACTCAATTAATCAAACTTGGTTTTGTTGTTGTGTTTAAGTGAATAAATTGAAGTCGTCATCAATGACCTTACTACATTGTTGATTTTTCTTTGTTTTCTACATCATGCAATAAATGTTTAACCCAAGAAGCACTACAAGAAATTATCAATTTTGTAACAAGATTTTTTCGTTCCTAAATTCACTTTCTTCGTTACTAATGATATTAGAGACGGAATTGGAGATGGAATCACGTTAGCTACGTGAACTTTAGGAATGGAATTTCGTTACAAATATACTATTATTTTTTTTTTTTTAGTGAAGAGGTATGATCGTTTCGAGTCATCCAAGTTTCTTTTCGTCGCATGATGACAGCTCATAGTCGGCGGCATCAATCTGCAACATTCCTTTGTTGTCGTTGTGTTAGCTAGGCTGATGGCAAGTCGTGAGAAATTTAATTTGTATTTTTTATGCCAAATCTAAAAAAAAAAGGCACAACTGTATCAAACTCTCTCATTGTTTTATAAATTATGTGTCTAGTCCTTCAGTCATCTTTATTTAACTGTATTTGATTTATACACACATTATTTTTCATTGGGGCTAGATATAAAAAAATGGATATATTTTTAATTTGAATAATTTAAAAATAAAGATTCTGAAACTCGTTCGCAGTTTGGACGTCTATAAGTCAAACACCGTCGAAGGGTTAGATATAAAATTTATGAAATTATGAAGGAATTTGACACATTTTTTAAAATATATAAGATTTGACATAATTTTGTGAAAGTGCGGATGAATTTTGTATGATTTTGCCAAAAAAAAAAGAAAAATTATTTTTTTTTGTCTTGTATATGACCCCATATCATTTTAGTATTATAACTATATCAAGTATTAGATTAGTTTCACAAGTTAAAAAAATTGACGGAAATGATCCTTAGGCACCGGAGTTACTGTTTTGGAACGCTGAAAACTGTGTAAATCACATAGATAACGTTTGAGGATCATTTATGCAAAAGGTTTTTGGTTATAGAACTAATCCAATATAGAGCTAATAATGGTCTTGAAACAATTCTAAAATATTTTTCGTCTGTCACGATAGTGTCACATCAGTAATTCCGGCCCCTGAAGATCATTTTTGCAAAATTTTTTACTTGTGAGATTAATTCAACACATGTTGTAGTTACGGCTATAAAATAATATGAGGTCACATACGAGACTAAATAAATAATTTTTCCTTTAAAAAATGGATTTTTCGCGATGGTCACGAACAAATCTGTGCGTTCATGTCTATCTTTTATTTACATATTTACCCAATCTATTCGATGTTAACTTTTCTTCAACTATTTATACTGAAAGTTTTCAGCAAATTGGATTAATTCAACTTACACTTAGGAGCGGGATTTGATCAGCTATTCATGTTTTCAGCTATCAAATTTCTACCCGACTATCCTGGAACATATCGGACAGTTTATATATTGCTTGAATTATGTTCTTATAATTTATATATAATAAATATATTTAAATATCTATGTCATTTTATAGAAAAAAAAAAAAAGTAAGAAGAAGATTTATGTAATAATATGTATAATTAATCATTATTAATTTAATAAAAAATAAAAATTGCATATATTTTATATATTAAATTATATAATTAATTGTAAATTATAAATATGCTCTATAAATAAAAACTTTTTCTCTACATTCAAATTTATTTTACTTTTTTTTTATCATATAAATTTATTTTCGTGTTTTCTTTTTAGTATAAATATCATTTTTTCTACTTTTTTTTTCTTTATCCTAAAAATTAGAAGTTTCTATTTTATCAATTTTTTAAAAATTTCGTATTCAATCAAATAAATACACAATTGAATGACAGATGAAATACTTATTAATAAATTGTACAATGATAAAAAGACTGCCAGATAGAATATTATCAGCACTAAGGGGACATTTTATTTTTTTTAATGACGTGGAATCAACAGTCGCTACCCGAGAGTGCGCACTGAGTAAACTTAAGGGACATGTTTTGAGTGTGCTCAAGTGGGTGTGATTGTTTAATTTATATAATTGTTTGATGTACTATAAATATACAAATATTTTAATTGTAAAATTGATTTTTAATATAGAGTAATATAAAAATAAAAATTTAGAATGTTTGAAGTGATATTTTGAAGAGAAGAGTTTGTTAATATAAAATTAAATTTTAATAAAAATAATATTATCAAGGAAAAAGTCAAAAAACTAAACAAGTCTTAAAAAACATAAAATATCATTTCTTATAATAATTTTGCAATTTTCCTGCTTCACACAATAAAAATACTTAAAAATATAAATATTAAAAATACATTAGTACTGTGAAAATGTTCTTAAAAAATTCTTTTTTTAATATTTTATAAAAAAAAATGTTTTATTTTTATTAAAAAATGATGTGCTTATTGCGAATGATGTTAATTTAAACCAAATGTAGTACATATTTGAAAAATCAATTTGAAAAAAAAAAAAAAAAAAAAAAGAAGAAGAAGAAGAAATGATAGTTATAGAATATTTGTAAAAAAAAAATAAAATAAATATTTGATAAGTTGTAAAAATATATTAATGTGATATTTTATATACTAAAAAAAATTAATATAATATTCTAAATGAACAATGTAGTATATTGGATGTGATGTTTTAGTCTAAAGGTTGCACGGAGATATTCAATTTAAATTTAAATTTGATCTTGTTTATAGGTATGATATGCATAGATTTTTATTTTGATAATCAGATAATACAATTTTTTTTTTTATTTTGAGTTCGAGTTAGACTATCCCGGTCAGGCATATATCCATATGTAAATCTCGCATATATCCCTTTGCGTGTGAATGGCATGATGATTGACTCTTATATGTAAATAAAAATTAATGATGCGTATCCTAAAAATTTAAGCTTTTACGTGAGACGGTCATTCGGTAAGTAATTTTTTTTGCACAATTGATCCTCGAATTACTGGATCAAAATGATAAAAGAAATAATTTTTAGACTAATAATAATTAAAACAGTGTCAAATTACATTAAAAGAAGTATAATGCAACGTTTGAATATTAGGGACTTTAGTAACGAAATTTTCTCATCAAATACCGTGACTGAATTGCTCATCATATACCGTGACTGAATTGCTTACTCCAACTACATTTAATTCATCTATTTATATCACAAAAACTTGGAACAAATTTCATTCAACTCACTATTCAACATTCAAAACTATGGATAGTGAATTAACATCATCGATCATCCTTTTTTCATCTCTCATATTTCTTGCATTGTTATGGAATGTAATCACTCGTTCCAAAGGTGCCCGAAATTCATCGATAAATCTTCCGCCGGGGCCGAGAAAGCTGCCGGTCATCGGGAACTTGCACCTCCTCATCAGTTCCCGACCACCCCATCATATTTTAGCCGACTTGGCGAAAAAATATGGGCCGCTGATGCACTTGCAGCTAGGTGAAATCAGCACAGTTGTTATATCGTCGCCGGAGACAGCAAAAGCGGTCATGAAGACGCACGACATCAACTTCGCTAATAGGCCATCCCTATTTGCGACAAAGATTATAACTTATGAGAATTCTGACGTAGCATTCTCTCCCTACGGCGAATACTGGAGACAGTTGCGAAAAGTATGCACAATAGAGCTGCTGAGCGCGAAGCGCGTCCAATCTTTTCGTCCCTTAAGGGAACAAGTGTTGTTCGATATGTGCAAATGGATAGCTTCGAAAGAAGGCTCGTCGATAAACTTGACTGAAAAAGTTTCCTTGGCGACTTGTGACATGGTTTTGAGGGCAGCCCTTGGCAATACAATTGATGAACACGAAGCCATGGCATTCGCGGCTAAGGAAGTATTGGAGTTACTCGGAGGATACTATGTCGGCGATCTTTTTCCCTCCATCAGTTTGTTGCAAGCAATTGGCGGATTTAGAGGCCGCGTGAAGAACGTGCACAAACTATCCGATACCATACTCCAAAAGATTATCAACAGCCGAAAAGTAGCCAAACCTCAAGGCGAACAGGAGGAAAACTTAGTCGATATTCTCCTCAAATTCCATAAGGATACCGGCCATGAGCACCAATTTAGTGATAAAAACATAAAAGCTGTGCTACAGGTTTGTCATATTAAAATTGATTATGTTAAATAATAATCTCACCTAGAAACACTACAAAAGAATAGTATATTTGTAACGGAATTTTATTCTTAAAGTTCACGTAGCTAACTTATCCCCAATTATGTCACTAATAGCATTAGTAACGAAAAAATTGAATTTACGAACGAAAAAACATTGTTACAAAATTGATCTTTTCTTGTAATGAAAGTTAAGCTATCAGAGAAATGCATGATTAATTACATATTATATAGTCCTTCAAACAGTCTGAAAGTTTCACTCAATATGAAAGTTTTTGTGCACATAGGATATGTTCATGGCTGGAATCGAAACATCATCGACGGCTACAGATTGGGCTATGGCAGAACTAATGAGACATCCAAGAGTCCTTAAGAAGGCACAAGATGAGCTGAGATGGGTTTTCCGCGACAAGGGTTTTGTTGATGAGTCTGACTTCGATGAGCTAAAGTACCTAAAGTTAGTTGTCAAAGAGATTTTCCGAATGCACCCACCGGGGCCTCTACTGCTCCCGAGAGAAAACAAAGAGTCCTGTAAGATCAATGGATACACAATACCTGGAAAATGTAATGTTGTGGTGAATGCATGGGCCATTGGAAGAGATCCCAAAATCTGGAAAGATGCCGACAGCTTTATACCGGAGAGATTTCTCGACAACAATATTTCAGTCGATTACACCGGGAAGAGTTTCGAATTCCTCCCTTTTGGTTCTGGGAGAAGGAGCTGTGCTGGAATGACATTCGGCCTCACAAATGTCGAAGTCCCGTTGGCAGTGTTACTCTACCACTTTGATTGGGTTTTGCCTGAGGGAATGAAACCTGAAGATGTGGACATGGCAGAACGCTTCGGGGTTGCAGCAGGAAGGAAAAAACCTCTTTTCGTGATTCCCAAATTGAGAAACCCTTTGCCTTCGTCAAAGTAAAATGGAGGGACACTATCTTACTTAATTTCCATGTTCGATCGAGCCATTTCAGTTAATTATAATCATGATAAATAAAGCTTGATGTAAAATAACTTTTTCGAATAGTAGATTTCAACTTGTGTTACTTTTCCAACTATCTTACAGGAAAGAGCTTTAATTTCAGCACTTTATTGTTCTTAATTGTTCTTAATTGTAAGGATATATCTTCCATGGCTAGTTCTTGTTACTTGATCGTATGTATATATATATATATATAATAGAAAATTAGAAATACAGCATATATCATATAGTATAATTAATTTCAGCATACATGACACATCTAAAATATTAGAGTAGTACACTCTAACAACTTATATAACATGTATTGTGTAGAATTGTATCCTCAATGAGTTCCCAAATTTGTCCCAAAAATACCATCAGCCAAACATCAATGTAATTTTAAAATATTTATTTATCCCACATGAATTAATTAATAAATAAATAAACACACACACACACACACAACTTGACTTGATCACATTCACACAGTTATAACGATAGGAATATTTGATCAAAATCAAATGCTAAAGACAGTAACTAAGGATGATGAAAAAAGAAAAGCATAAAATATACTCAGAAATAATAATGAAAACAGATCCCACATATCAAACGAAATTGTATCGAAAATCAAAACATCATGTGTTAGGCTGACTCGAAGCCCTGATCTGATCTGAATTAGCTCCTGTAAATTATTCATGGATTGCCAAAACCTAATCTTCAATCAATAGATTCATATAAAATTTGTGTTCTGTGATCGTGTTTCTGTATAGATCAATTGATTGATGACTGTGATTGGTTTGATTTTGATCTCAGTTGCAGCATTCAGTGGTTGGTGTTGTTTAGGGAAAGAGATCGATGGGGGATGTGGAAGATCAAATCCAGGCCGTTGATCGCCGGAACAGTAAAACTCCAATCTTGATCAGAAAAAATAATCTCCTCGTCACACTCAAGGTGATTTGATAAATTCGATTTTTGAAAATTTCTAACCAATCTAGGGTTTCATTTCCAAGAAAACCTATGATTAATGATCATATTGGGATATATGTATATGCAGTTCGAGAAAGTGATCTACAAAGCTAAAATCATCCAAGAACGATTCTTCTTTATAAATTCATCGAAATCCGAAGAGAAATTAATCCTCAAGGGCGTGACGGGAATCGTCCTGCCGGGAGAAATGCTCGCAATGCTCGGCCCATCCGGCAGCGGCAAGACGACGCTGCTCACCGCCCTCGGCGGCCGTCTCGGCGCCGCCGCCGCCGGAACCCTCTCCGGTACGGTCACCTACAACGGCAGGCCGTATTCGAACGGGATGAAGCGCAACACGGGGTTCGTCACGCAAGACGACATTTTATACCCACATTTAACAGTAACCGAAACGCTCGTCTACACGGCCGTGTTGCGCCTTCCGAGGACTATGCCGACGCCGGAGAAGGCGCAGCACGCCGAGGCGGTGCTCGCGCAGCTCGGCCTGGCGCGGTGCCGCCACAGCGTCATCGGCGGCGGCCTGCTGAGAGGTGTCTCCGGTGGCGAGCGGAAGCGCGTCAGCATCGCGCAAGAAATGCTGATCAATCCGAGCCTCTTGTTCCTCGACGAGCCGACATCGGGCCTCGACTCGACCACGGCGCAGAGGATCGTCTCCACCATGTCTGAGCTCTGTAAAGACAGCAGAACTGTTGTGATGACGATCCACCAGCCGTCGAGTCGGCTGTTCTATATGTTCCATAAGGTCCTGCTCTTGTCGGAAGGGAATCCTTTGTACTTTGGAAAGGGCTCCGGCGCGATGGACTACTTCGCCGGAATCGGATTCTCGCCGTCGGTGGCTATGAATCCGGCGGACTTTCTGTTAGATCTTGCAAACGGTAGTAATTGAAAACTTTAAATCCTGAACCCTAATTTTGATCGATTTTAATGGTTGGTTCTACTTTGGCAGGAGTTTCCGGCGATGGCGAGTCTCCGGAATTAGATCCGGCCGATGTTAAGCAGACATTGGTGACGGCTTACCGGACACATCTGTTGCGAAGTGTGGAATCGGAGGTCGAAGGCTATGACAGCCAGGCTAAACCAGGTTGTGCCGATCGTCATAATCCCAAACTCTTTAAGGAATGGCCTATCACTTGGATCGAACAATTTTCTGTATTGTTTAGGAGAGGAATCAAAGAAAGGAAGCACGAATCATTTTCCTCCCTTAAAATTGCTCAAGTTCTCGTCGTCGCCATTGTCTCCGGGCTCTTATGGTGGCAATCTGATGCCAGCCATTTACAAGACCAGGTAAGCCCTTTCTTGATCATTTTACCTCTACTGACAACACATTGCATATACGATAACAACATTAACTATCGCAATATATGTTATTATTGATCTTTCTTTATATATTTCACTACGGTACCGACAACACATCGCATATATACGATAAGCATCAACAGTCACAACATATGCTTATTATTGATCTCACTCTACATATAAATAGACAACACATTATCTACAAAGTAGACAAAAAAAAAATGACAAAAGTTCACATAGCACATAGATCACAATTGATCTTACCACATGTTATATCCTATATTTTTGTTTTAATCTATCTCATATTTCATGTCTCATTCTTTTTTTCTATTAAATACTTTAAGAACCATAATTTCATCAGTAATGATTAATATTGACATGATATAGGTAACGTTAACTTAAATTTTTTTATCTATAATTTTTTAACTTTAATCAGACTAATTAATTATTTTATAATATTAATTTATACTTTATTTACTAATCATACTACTATTTCAACAACAACAATACATAACCATCACACTATACAAATCAAAGCTAATCATCATACCACTTATTAACCCCAAATCAGCACCGTAACCAAAGCCCTAAAACATTTTCTAACAAGATTGTAACAACTGCAGGTTGGGCTGTTCTTCTTCTACTCAGGATTTTGGGGATTCTATCCATTGTTCCAAGCAATCTTCACATTCCCTCAAGAACGTATGATGCTCGCGAAAGAACGCTCGTCGGGTATGTATCGACTCTCATCCTACTTCATGGCCCTCACCTTAGGTGACCTCCCCATGGAGTTAGTCCTGCCCACCATTTTCTTCACCATAACCTACTGGATGGCCGGCCTCAAGCCCCACGCCGGCGCATTCCTCTCGGGCCTCTTCATCCTCCTCTACAGCGTGCTGTGCTCTCAGGGGCTCGGCCTCGCCATCGGGGCTGTAGTCATGAACCAGAAATCTGCCACGATTCTTGGATCGGTTATCATGCTGACTTTCCTCTTGGCCAGTGGATATTATGTCCAGCATGTCCCGAAATTCATTAGTTGGATCAAGTTCTTGTCGATTAGTCAGTATACCTTTAAATTGTTGCTTTCGTCGCAGTATAGCCCTGGAGACACCTACCCTTGTGGCCCTGATAGGACCTGCCTTGTGCGTGATTTTCCGGCGATCAAAGCTGTCGGGCTCGATGATCAGGCTGTGTGTGTCGTGGCGTTGGGGATGATGCTTGTTGGATACAGGCTCGTCGCGTACGTCGCCCTCATGCGACTCGGCGTCACCAAGAAGTGATGGTTATTTAATTCGTTTCTTTCTTTTGTTTTGTTTCTTGAGAATTTTGATCGAAAGCTACGAGAGTTTTTTTTGAGGGATTAGATATTAGATTTGATGTTGTAATTTGGGATGAGGTAGAATAGACATATATATATATATATATATATATAGTATAAGTAATTCTTGTAGGATGAAATTAGTAGCCGGCGGCAACCTTGAACAATGAGTCCTATGTTCTTTTTGATCGAGTGGTAGTTGTAGTCATTCCGATGAAAATCGAGCAGAGTCATCTTCCAGCAGAACAATCTACTGTCGATGTCGATAGTGCTATAGTTTGTTCTCTTGAAGCAATGCCACTGTCTAAAGATGCTCCAACAAAGTAAGATTGTCAATAGAAAAATAATATAATAAATATTTGGATTATGGAAAGATAAGGCTTGTCGTATCCTCATAATATCACTGCATTTTACAAATATTTATAAATTTATATTTATTTACATCAATATGCAATTAAGACTCAACAGCATAAATATATATATATATATATTAGTATTGTTAAATTACAATATTTATTAAATTCTACGCTATAACAAACCATATTTCACTTTCTATATATATATATATATATATATATGATCCTTATTATGTACTCAAAGAAAGCTAACCACCGTTGGTGATTTTGTTTTGTAGGCCACAATTAATGTGATGCTTCCATTCCAAGGCATCTTGTGAGGTTGAGGTTTGCTATATTGTCTCGTATAATTGAAATGTCTAATTTGTTTACCTTTTTTAAAATATGTGCGTAGAAATTAAAGTTAAGACCAAGGTTGGTTTTCCGATTTTTGAAATTTTAGAAATATAAAAAAACATTTACCCATTCAAAGGCATTTTTACTTTCAATATTATTTATTTTTCAAAAAATATATTTTTTTCTTTTACATATCATAAAATCAAATATTAACCATTTTTATTTTGTTTCTACATGTACATTAATTAGAATAGAGGCGTGAGATACTCAAGTATCTATTTGGAAAGGCCATCTGTCATTTATTTATTTATTTATAATATTTGTTTGTTCATTAAGGCACCGAATTCCATCCACCTTTGACTCCCCCGCAAGCTGTAAGCTGTTTGTCGTCCTTCGTTGTCTCCACGCCACACCTCATTCCCCTCTCTCTCTCTTCCCCTCCTCTCTCTCTCTCTCTCTCTCTCTCTCTCTCCATATCCAAATTCGATCAGAAATAATTCATCAAATCCAATCAATACATACATATATTTACAGAAACAACGTACGGCCTCGATCGGTCGGAAATGGCGCCCCGTGTCTTAAAATCATGCTTCGGCCGGCGCCCCTCCGACGTGGACAAAAAGCCCACGGCGGCAGACGCAACGGCGCCGGCGCCGGAGCACCGCCGCAAATTAGGGCCGGTGGTGGTCGAATTATTCTCGTCGCAGGGCTGCGCCACCTCGCCGGAGGCCGAGGTCCTCTTTTCCCGGCTGGGCCGCGGCGACTTCGCCGCCCAGCTTGCGGCGGCGCCGCTCATCCTTCTCTCGTTCCACGTCGACTACTGGGACTACGCCGGCTGGAAAGACCCCTTCGCCGCCGCCCAATGGACCGTCCGCCAGAAGGCCTACGTGGAGGCCCTAAACCTCGACACCATGTTCACCCCGCAGATCGTCGTCCAGGGCCGCGCCCACTGCGTCGCCGACGACCCCGACGCCGTCCTCTCCGCCATCGCCGCCGCGCCGCGGCACCCTGCGCCGTCGCTCCAGGCGGCGTTCCGCAGGCCCGGCCCGAAATCTCTGCGGGTGGCCCTAAAAGGATCTGCCAGGCCCGATCCCGGGTACGTGATTCTGGTGGCGCTGTACGAGTGCGGTCTCGTGACGGACTGCGGCGGCGGCGCTAATAAGGGTAAGGTTCTGGCGAACGACTATGTTGTCCGCCGGCTGGAGAAGCTGTCGCCGGCGCCGGCGGGGAAGAAGGGGATCTCCGGCACGGTGGAGTTTGGGCTTTGGGAGGGGTTTAATCCGGCCAAGTGTGGAATGGCTGTGTTTGTGGAGAACTCTTCCCGCCAAATATTTGGGTCTCAAAATTTTCGACTTCCCGATGAGATATTGTCTGAATCAATCGTCGATTGATGCTGTAATAATAATAGTTTGTGACCATTTCTTAGTTTTCTTCATTCACATTATATAACATTTTGTTGAATAATATGTCGATTCACAGTCGCTATTTAGTGAATTTTAAGTTCAACTTAATAATCTACAAACTAGGTATATAACTTCTCTTCCGACTCTTCTTTGTACAAGAATGAACATTGAACGGATCAGATCAACTGAGCCGCGAAATGTCAATGTCGTCGGGTAGTCGAAAAGTGTCGGCCGCGCCAAATTTCCTCCGCTCCTCCGATGACTCATCTTCTTCTTCGAACTCGGCATCGTCGTTGCTGCTGTATCCTTCATTCTCCGCAGGTGGATGCGGCGCGTTGATGCTTCTCGACCGGCACTGATTTTCCGCAGCGAGGATGTCAACTTGTCCGAAATGTGAAATTTCGATCACCACAGTGTCGTCATCCATGGGAAGGGGCTGCTTCCATGGCTCGCCATCGATCCTCATGTATGTGTGATCGGCTGCGCCCTTGTGGAACTCGAAACGAATCCTGTTTGCCTACGGCAAGGACCAAATCGTCGTACAATTTACAATAAAAATATGTTTTTTGTCGAAAAATTGATTCGAAAATGTCATTTTTAAGGGGAAAAGAGTCGAAAGCTTTCACATACTTGAGCAAGGCGAGTCCCGTGGCCATTTGGAGCGAACAAGACGAGACCGTGCCATGCGTCTCTGAATCCAACAACCTCGAGATAGCCATCATCGACGTACGGGGGAGTTAGGTCCCTCTGTAAGAAAAACGAACTCATAAACAGCTCATCGACAAACTGCGATCAACATGTTAGAAATAATAAGCAATACTTGCCGAATGAAGCTTCTGCTTCCCCGGTTTTCCCCACGGATTGAGACCTCCCGAGAAGCTAGGCAAGTTGAGGCAAACAATGGACCGGATGCTGCAGGCGCACACGGATCGTAAGCAAATGTTAACAAAGATCACAAACTTGCGACAGAATCGAGATAAAACCCGAGAAAGTAAACCTCTGAGGTATGTGCAGATCTATCCATTGACCGGGCTTTTTCATGATCTTAACCTTTGCTAGTTGAGCTATATTTCTGCGAATCATTGAGCAAAACTGTTATTCTCTAAGACATAACTACTTTACATTGAATGTTTTCGAACGAATGCATTTCATTTCTCATAATTTTACGAGAAGAGCTGTGCACCTTGAAGATTGATGCGTGAGCGGCGTGCAAAACCATCCCTGCTTACAGCTAAGCTTTGCATAAGTAGCCTACGAAAATAACTCACAGTGAGCGGAGAATATGAGAATACATTCATCAACACGCAATCGTCAACTAGCAATAAACATGGAGTCGATAATTTGGTGCTCGAATGAAGCGAAAAAACGAGGACAATTACCTGATTAACCAATTGATTCTTGAATTTTTCCGGATGCAGCTTTCTCTCTGTGTGAAAAGCATATGAAACTTGGGCATCCATACCTACAAAGATCAAAAAATTGTCGATGTTGGTTGACTGCATAATATATAAATAAATTAGGCTTATTCGTTTAAGTTTAAGTTTTTAGGTGAGATAATCATTTAATAGTGAAAGAGCTAGGCGAGTAATAGATTGATCATATTGATCGAGAAGCAAGAAACTTACCCATGCTAAAATAATTCCAAAAGCCTCCACGAAATGTGTGGTAACCCTCCTGATAGAAGAACAATTCGAATCAGCATATTTTGCATTTGATCACAGCATGTTTAAGTGAAGATTTAAATACATTGCCAGAGTGGTTCGAACAAGTGAGCCCTTTTTATATGATTTTATTGTTCAAATATTACTTTGAGTACCTCATTCAGTTCATCCGTTTGGGAGACACGGTGAAAAGTGTGCAACGAATGCGGTAGATCAAGAGGTGCGATAGGGTCGCATATTCCTTCTTGGGGAGCCCTCATCCGCATGAGGATATGCCAGCTGAAATGAAGAAAAGCTTAGTATCGTTTATAGAAAGACACAGTAAGTCGAATGATATATAATATTCTGCAGATCCTATGGCATATAGACGTCGTGAATAATACATGTATGAAAAGGCTTAATAATGCATCTACCTGTCGATTTTCATCTCTTTCGCATCATGTACTCGTTCCAAGAATGCCTTAACAGCTTGATGGTCCGTGCCGGGATTTTTCTTCCCCTGATGCAGAATGCAAGAAATATGGGTGATAATCAATATATATCACAAGGCTTTCAATAATTATTTGATGATGTTTAGAATTTCGGAAAACATAGTGATTTTGTTTTGGTATAGTCATGTAGTCTCTAAGGCTATCGCAAGTCGCAACTCAGGCTTATCTATCCCATACTTCCCCGAGAATCTCACTGTCTACACACACATTTTTCAAACTTTTGGTACTATTCATCTACGGTAACTTTTTCAAAAACATCAAATTAAATAAATTTTTTTACCCATCCGAATGAAAATGGGAGATTATTCCCAGTTCCTAGAGGCATAGTAGCTATTGGCGGTGGCTGCGCTAGTTTCAGATCAGAGACGACACCAAGAAGCCATCCGGCTGTTCCATCCCCACCGGCAACCTACAAAATGAATAGCAGAAAGATCAATTACTACACCATTGCAGAATCAAACCTCTGTTGATTAAATAGTTCGATAAAAAGGCCTCCATTCAATTCTACTCGCGCCAAAACACATGTTTTTGTTATGATCGTTCCATGTAACAAGATTTCCTTTTGAAGATCATAGTATAACATTATCAGTGATTGATTTCAAACCACTTAAACTAAGTGAATTTCGGTACTATGGTAGAAAATCTTATTGTAATAGTTTAGCACAACTACAAGTATGTGTCTCTTAAACATTGCACCATGAAACGATTGTTCGACTTACTACAATCCGTAGCCTTTTCTGTATTTCAACAGCCAAGTGGTCTCCATTCTGCTTGTGTTTCTCCAAATTGAAATAAACCTGTCGAAGCACCTTGTCCGGAGTCATTTCACCAAGATCGAACACCTGAAAACATAGAATCCCGAATGAAACTTAAATAAAATGCTTCCAAAGAGATATTGCGCCACGACACCGGAAACAAACCTGGTTTTTGTTGAGCATACTACGGCATGTTAGCAAAAGTTCTCCCCCCAGCTGCCCCCCACTCCTCGAATTGATGAATAGAATCACCGGACAGGAAGGAACGCCGAATTCTAATTTGTTTTCTGATTCGGGAACAAGTATGTAATCAGGAATGTAAAAATCCTTCAATATTCCCACCTCAACGTTACTACTAACTGCAACCTCTTCACTGGAAAAAATCGAACAAAGTGATCATAAATTCTACCTCACAACAAGTGATCAGTTCATTCTTCAGCAGTTCATAAACATACCATTAGAACAATATGATACAAAAGCACGATTTGCTCAAACAAAAATCGAAATTCGAAACAACTTAAACCGAAAAACAAAATCAGGACACACCAATCTATGGTATAAAATCCAAAATTTCAAACTTAGAAGGAAACCAAAACACACACACATATAGAGAGATGCTATTCACGAAAGATAAACCGCTTTCTCACTTTTTATTGAACAAATTATGCAATGATTGCTTCAGGTCTTTGGCCATCCTCTTCGATCTCACCATCAATCATACAGCAATCGATGAACGCCAACCGAATCTGTCCACAAACAGACCAGTTTGATTTCATAAATGTAAAAAACACTCCCGAGATATAAAATATTGCACTGCAAATTCCGAAAAGAGAAGTAGAGTTGAAAAAGCAGAAATACTTTACCTGCCGAACAAATCAATAAAGATTCAAAAAGCAATTTGCCCACAGACACAGAGGATATTCAAATTCCTTCAGGAAGATGATAAGTCGTTCGGATTTCAGAGAAGTTTCAAAATTGACACCTCGATTAATTAATGAAATTAATTATATAGTAAATGAAGAAGATCGATTGGGCATCCGAAAGTGAAAACGCGTGAATAGGAATTAGGAGACTGTAGCAGGGAAGAATTTGCGTCGGGATGCAGTGGGGGCCTTGAAGGATTAAGAAATCGAAAATGGATGTCACTTACAGCAGCACACGCCAACGGGCAACGACGAAGAAGTCTCTCCCTCTCTCTCTTCTCAGCGGCATTTCATCACACTTGCTTAGTCGAGAAAGCTTCTTGATTCTGATTTGAGCGCGTGCTGATTCGAATGTTTGTTTTACAGACGATGTTTTATTTATTTAATTTTCTATTTTTATTTATATTTTTTTATTTTGAAATACCATGTGATAAAAGAATCAGAATTTTATCCATATTCATGTAAAAAATAATAAGTTTTGCATGTAAAAAATAATTGCATATGTAATTATATATTTGTAATTTTTTTCTAAAAATTAAAGGTATATTGGCACTGATGTGTGATTATTTTTACTAAAATTGAAAGAGATACTTTTCTGAGTAGACAGAAAAAAATGGTAAAAAGTGTACTATGAGTATTAAAAAGTAATCGCAAGTGTAACGATAAGTTTGTAATTTAGATAAAAGTTAAGTATTTTGGTATTGTACATTACTTTTTACTAAAAACAAAAAATGAATACTTTGGAGTAAGACGAACAAAAATAGTAAAAAAAATTACTTTAAATTAGGACGGAAAGAATATAAAATTTAACGTTCAAATATCTTTTACCCCAAACCTAGTTTTTCACTATTTGATTTTTTGTTTTAAAAAAAAAAAATTAACAAAATATTTCATTATATATTATTTTAATATTTAATTCAAATAAAAAATAAATAAATAAATCAAAAGAAAGACACCTTAATCATTATTACACAAATTCAAAACAAACAAATCCATTGACTTTTATTAAATAATAATCAAACGTCAGTAACCGTTGCTCTCTTTAGTTATACTACTATTTTAGTAGATTTATTTATTATAAAAAATTTGTACATTAATAAGAAAGTAGCACTCCGTCCATGTATTATGGGTCCGTACGTACTAGAATTTAGGTAAAGTGTGATCGTTAAATAATTAAGAAATGTATTAGTAAAAATAATTATCATATAATAAAATAATTATAGATTAAGATTAAAATAACTAAATAGTTTAATTAAAATTAAAAAAATTATAAAATTTAAAATTTAAAATGAGATTAAAATGTATAATTATATTTCCAAAAAAAAATGGATAAATTACTTAGGACGGACTAAAATAGAAAATAAGGACAAATTATGTGAGACAGAGGGAGTAGTTAATTGTTACATAAATTATAAAAATATCATTACATATATAATTAATTTATATTTTAAGAATAAAAATACTAAAACCATCTTATATATTATCTTTCCACTAGCCTTTGAATTATAATCGAAATATATCCTTAATGTAATCCATGTGCTCATTAATTACTTCGTCTGGTTAAAAATTTTCAATCCAACTTTTCGATTAAAAATACAAAACAAATCGAATAATTTTATTTAAAGATGTTATATTTAATGTTTATATATACGTTTTAAATTATCTAATATTTTTTTAAAAAAAATATTATATTAAATTTATTTTTCTTACAAAAAATCAAATTTTTATTATTTTTAAAAAAAATTGGAATTATTAATAATATCGATTTGGACAGCTTCTTTTCAATATTCCATTCAATCTTTTCTTTTATTTATGTAATAAAATTTCGAAACTTTTTTTACTTTTTTTATTTAGCAAGTCACTTTTTATTCTTTTGATTCTTTATAAATTTGTGAAAATTATGTATACACATTAATAAAATGCACTATTCTTTACAAATTGAAATTATAATTCATAAGATATTTTGTAAGTTTGATTTTCATGCAATTTTTCACACTCCTTAAATAAATAAATAAACAAATGCATCAATATTTTCTATAAAATACCAAGTCAAACAATCATGCAAATACAAAATATAAGAACAATGCATAATTATTTGGTAAAAGAACTGAAACAAAATTCTAAAAAAAAATAATAATAATAAATATATTTGTCAATTATTCATCAATTTTTTACTAAAAAATCATTAATGTGTATTGTAAGGACCATTGGATTAGCCATGATTAAATATTCCATGTGTTAATTAAATAATTTCACCTAATCCGCCAAAGTCTGAACACACCCTACCCTAGTACCCTACCTAAAAGTTTAGATCATACAATAGACTAGTATTTGATTAAAATTGAATTCAAATTAAATATAAAATTATTTCAAAAATTAATACTTCATCTGTCGTTTAAATTTATACTCACATTTTTTATTTTTTTTGAATTGTCATTGAAAAATATTCTTAAGTAAAAAATTATTACATTTTGTATTTTTTTATTATAAAAGAAAAAAAATAATCATTAGTACTTATTTTTATTAAAATTCGTGTCCGATCAAATAATCACACATTTTGCAGAACAGAAGAAAGTATATTTCAATACCAAAATGCACACGTCACTCTATGAAAAGGCAAAAAAAAAAAAAAAACACCTGGCACGTATTTCATTGGAATTTTTCATAATTATATATACCATAGCTGATTACCAATTTCTACCTCATAAATTTAAAAAAGAAAATTATATGTATAGTATAAATAAATTATATATTAATATAAAAATAAATTTTATAAGAACTAATTTTTTGAATATGTATATATATAGAAAAAAGATATTAGGTTACTTGAAAGGAAATAACAAATAAAAAAATATAAGTAGATTAATTAAAAAATATTTTTTCCATCCATTAAATTAATACTTATACCATAAATAATTTTATTTTTTTTTAAATGTAAAAGTCTAACCGCCGCTAAGCATACTCTTCGAATATCCTCCATGTAAATTTTCGACCAAATTTAATAGCATACAAATTATAAATAGATAAATAATTTACTATAAATAAACACTTCATAATTTTAACAAACAATAAAAGAACTGAAATAAAAATTTCGAACATAGGAAATAAATATTATAAACTACAAACAAATTCTTTACTTTGAAACATTTTATCATACTTTCCCGCCATCGATATCGAGCGGCGGGAAATCTTTGCGCGCAATAACACAGCTAGTGAAGTTCTAACGGAAACATGCCTACATAAATTAGCTGCCTCAATACAATTGTTAAACTTCTTGCAATGTACCTAATAAACTTTCCATTCGAGCTTTAGACTTTATCTAAGAGTTCTTAAAAAAGAACGATAATTCGGCAAGAGATGATGCCATTTCAAGCCAAGCCAATATTAGATAGTAATCGAGCACTTACCGATTTCAAACTAGTATAATATGATCAAAAAAAGAAACTCAAGCTTCATCAACCCAATTCGAGCCAAGCCTTCGAAACAATTTTCAATTAACACCTCTAGATGACTAAACTACGGCAGTTCTTAAATTTAGATGCAGAATGCGATGTATCTCAATGACAGGCATATATAGGCTTTAATTCAATGAAAAAAACTAAAGCACCGAAAGAGCGCAGTTATACTTCAGTAGATCGTTATGACCGAGAGGGAGGGAGTTTCACATACTTGCGCAGACCTCAAGGCTAATTGCTTGTAGAATGTTGGCGGAAATATTCAACCATCAATTCTCTCAAAGAAGTACAGGTATCCCATGTCGATTGGAGGATTTTTAGAGACTGCGACTTTTTCGTCGTTGAACATCACCCACCTGCCATCTTTGTAAATGTGGGCGACGTAATGCCCGCAGTGTGTAGATGTCCCAATGTGACTCACTAATCCGAGGAGGCGATACTCTGTAGAGAGATGCAACAAAAAATGCTAGTTTGAGAAAACATAGCTAGGGAAGGCAATAAGACATCGGTAAAGGAGAAAAGCAAACTAACTTCCTTGTCCATCAGGGAGAGCAGCATCCGCCAAAGTGTCACTGCCACTGGGTGTGGCATCCATATTCGACACGCCAGAAGGAGGATTAAATATCCATTCGGTAGCTTTTTCAATATCACCGCCCTACAAAGAACATTGCTGGTGTTACAAAACAATAAACCTAACATTGAGGAAAGCCGAAATCTGTTCATGAGTATCCCACCGATGCCTGTAGAGCCTTCCGGGCAACTTCTTCCTCAAAACCAAAGGATATCAAAGTCTCAACTTTTGAGGGATCAACAAACGGATCACTCTTCTGTGGTTTTGTTACAGGATTGTCGATGTCTGGAAAAATATATTCAGTTATTTAATAGCAGCAGGCTTATGACCCCGGAATTAACTACTTGCATAAACTAATCGATTTGCAAGGCCAATAAGGATGTGCACCTGGATCATTCATATGATTAAGTAGCCAATTCATTGCTTCTTCCACACCGGTATTGGATGTATTGATAGCAGCCTTTTGGCAGTGAAGATATGGAAATCCCATAGACACAAGTTGGTTTACAATTTCATCATTAGGTTGAAGCATTACATCTTCTTCCTCGGGAGCTGCAGACACATACAAAGGGTGCAAGATAACAACGTACGTGCGCTTGTGGAAGGGTGGGATATAAAATGATCAACCAGCATCTCAAAATAAAATAGAAATATTCGTACCACCATCAGGTAACAATTCCTCCCCCGGTTGAAGACCTTTGCTGCGCATAAAGTTAATGTCTATGGTATCTGGAACATCTATGTAGACATCTATGACATCAACCAGACAAGACATCGAAGGAAAGAAAAAAAGAAGAATCAGCACACTGAATTCGAAGGTAACATAAAATTGGGAGTACAAGACAGAGTGAACCTAATTTCTTCGGAACCCAGCCCTCCTCCAGCACAAATTTTCTCATGTGCAATACCAGATAATCAGGGAATGAAGTTAGACCAGCAGTTCTGTCAAGAAATAAAATAATAAGAATTAAGAATAAAAATAATTAACTGGATTGTGGGATTTAATTAGTAACTACTAATAAGTCCATATAGCGTGTTCAATTGTTTCAACATGTTCACATGTCAAGGGGAGATGAAAGCTAAACTCTCCTCTACAAGAAAAATAAAATTGAATATTCATTTTATGTTTCCAAGTGAGGGATGGAGGGGAGCGAGGTAGTGGGCTCACTTGGTCGCAGTTGTCTTGGCATTCAAAGCTGTGCTGTAAAAATCATGCAACTCTTCTGGAGCAGAAAAGCTACCCAAACAATCTGTAAGTTGTACCCTTGGGCGAACAATTTCATCTGTCAACCTGCCACACACAATATATTTATTGTAGAATGCAACATGAATGAAATATAAAGGGATCGTCACAACTTACAGTTCTTCACCCTTTGCATCTTTATCAGCTTTTAGTTTTTGAAATTGTTCTAATTCTTCTGGCATATCAACAAAATGCGTTATAATGTTGAAAAGGAGAACTTGCTTTCATCAATAAGCTTTCAAAAGTGTGCAGAACTAACTTTTGTTTGTGGCCTTGTGGAGCGGAATATTTAGGGAAAGAATATAGTCACATCGCTTGTTATAGGCAACTTTTCCAGAGGGGCATTGTAATCGCTCTTCAATGCCAAACTTGAAACTCCTCGAGGGATCATTGTTGGGGTTACCATTGTTAGTCCTCTCAACTTGGTCAATAAAATGCAGGAAGAACTCTAGAGCATCCTAAATAAAATTTTCTTGTCAATCACCAATACTGATTGCAAAAGCAATAATTTTAGACAAATTAGCGAGAGCCAAGTAATAAAAGAATGAATTGCAGCGCTCACAATTTCTCTAGCATATAACATATTTGAGTTACAAAAACTGATGAAGTAAACATCATAATTCACAATGAAAGCCAAAAACAAGAATAGAAAACACTATATATATCCGATAGTTAGGCCAAACTAATCTAGCATGTATACAATTGAGTTGTAGATACTAGATATTATCCACCCAACCAAGCATACAGTATCTGAGTGAAACTAACTTTCCAATTAATATTACCAAAAAATACAATATATACAGTCACCCAATACATATAAAATATATAGTTATATACTTTACTCACTTACAAAAAGTCAACAAGGATTGACCTAAAAGGGCTTTGTGCTCATTATTAATCAGCTACTTATTAAGAGCAATATGTTGCTGTAAACATACCTGTTGTCTCATTGTAGAAAATTCAGGATGTTTAGCAGCAATTACAGACTTGAACATTCGAGGAGGAATTCCTTCTTGTTTCTGGGGATTACGGCAGAACAACCAGAATTCAAGAACCATAGTATGACTCGTTGAAGCAGTTAAAATATTTATTAACCTCAAATTATATGAACTATAAAGTTGCAAGGCCAAATATAAAAACATGGATATGGAACTAAAAATTGCTTACATCCATTAAGGTAGCGTCTCCAGCATCATCTTTCTGTCAGGGTAGGAGTTGCAGCATTATTAATTTTAACCACAGTATCATAGAATAAAGGAAAAATAGAATGACGATGACGTACCTTGGATGCTAGGATGGAATATTTTCCGGAAAGCAATCCATGAGCTAACTTTGTTCTGTGAGTAAACAGAGATGTGTTAACAAATAAATTAGTGAAGTGGATTCATCAGCAACTGGCGCTCTACATGTATATGTAAAGGTTATTCGTATCATTATCTTAAATAAGACCGTTATGCCCAACTATTACAATGACGAAAGGATGTTTCATCATCTGATGATCAAGATGGTACCAGGACATCCATCATTATTGCAGAAAACCGACAAATTTTTTTCGCAAATAGGTAACATTATTGAGAGAATTGTGCACAAGAAGATGTGAACTATTACGTGCAAAACGGAAATGAAATCCCATCACAAGTTCCCAATCTAACAGCTATATCCAAGAATGAACTCTATCTATTCAGTATTTTTTAAGTTAAAAAAGGGATGATCACTTACAATTGCATGTTTAAATCCACAGTTGGATCAGCAGGAGCCGTACTAAAAGCACCTTTCAAGCTTTGAGTCAAATAGTACCTACAAACAAAATCACAATCAAACAGATAAATTATTCCCCATGTCATGGATAAAAACGCCTCATTGCTACCAAAAGCTAATTGATCCCAGAGAAAAATGATCAGATCTAACCTTGAACAGAAACCACGTGTAGAGAACACAACTTGCATAGTTGCAGCCAAATAACAACTGCAAAGCAAAGAGTCAATGAACATGCAAGCAATGACACAGTGATGAACTATAATAATAATAATATAATTCTGATAAACCTGTTTCCAAGATTCTTAAGTCCTGTGTAACCAGGTCCAAAAAGTGGCTCAACATCCTCTCCATTCTCTTGAATACGATTCCAGTCAAAATTGGTGTTATGATCAAGCTCTCTTTCAGCAGTAGTCATTTCAGTCTAACATATTAACAACATCAATTACATGATTCATACCAATGATGATAATATAAACAAGTAGCATGAGCATCTATTGCAGATGATAACAACAGCAATCTCAAACCAACAATATATATTTATTTTGGGAGTGTCTAGGGGAAGAAAAAAGTTAAGGGGGGCTAACGGCACCAAAAGCTCTAGTCCCATGCTTCTCAGACCAGGAAAGGAAATTAGAAATTTGTGATTTTAAGAAGTTGAAGAATTAAGGAAATCCCTAGGAAAGGAATAATCCAGAAAATATAAAAACAAAATAAATAAAATTATATGGCATAGAGAGCTGTAGCCCATTCTTCTGACTAGGAAATGAAACTAGAGTGTCACGAGTTTAATGGAAGAAACAAAAGAATAGAGAGAGCCTCATCAAAAGGTTCCCTCCAGAGGGAAATCATATGGCTAGGAAAGCTTCAGCCCCACACTTCTCAGATTGGAGAAACGATACTACAAAATTGTTGTTTAAAAATAATATATAGACTAAATGCCTTTAATGTGGAACATCTTGCAATGATTTTAGAAAGCAACATCTTTAAAGCTATATATATTTAATTCTGTCAGCCCTGTTGACTGTGGCATGGAACCAACAATAGAACGAACTCCATGTATTCTAACTTCTTACTTTTTGCAAGGATGAAAAGTCAATGCCAAAATGTTGAAGGTGTTGTGCCAGAAGTGGATCAAAAACGCTTGCATCCTCTTCATAAGAGAAAACATCTGAGCTGCCAAAATTTAAACTTCATGATTATGAATGAAATAAAGTAACAAAGCATATAGTTTAATTTTTCATCTATATACACTCTCATACAATGTATATAATATATATACTCTATCTACTTACGAAAGTCAACAATTAAATACTGACACGACTCTCATACCTAACATAAAAGAACACATTCATTCGAAAATACAAAGTGAAGACTCCCACAGTTAACATTATTTATTTTTTCAATTTAGTAAAACTAAAGTCGAATCAAGAATCTTATAACCCATCAACCAAACAATGGTTGCTAGAATAATGTGAATTGCTTTTAGTATTTGTGCTGAACAAATACCAGACCTATAGCCCTTAGTAATTAGTTATTCATATATGGAACCACAAGTCAGAATCCGAGGGTGAGACTTTTCACAACATGTTAATGGAAAGAGAAGAAAATCAAACAGAAATACATCATCCATCATAGTACTAACTTGGTTCAAATGCCAAGGAATGCATCACATGATGAAGAGGGTAATACGGTGATCTCACTAAGTACTGGATTCTCTATCAATGACCTAAACTATTGTTTTCCTAGAAAGCACCAAAACTACAATGAAATGTAACAAGGAAGATTAAGAATGGAGAGAAAGCACGCATTACCTGCAACCTCTAAATCAGCCGTTATAGTTCCAAGCTTCACAGCCAAAGGATATTTGCATACACTATAATGCTCAACGGCATGGTTGTTACCCCCACTTCCATCCCAATTTCTTCTACCACAGAGGATAGATCCATCCGTTAAATTCAACCAAAGATTGTCAGTCTTATCACATTTCTCACATTTCCAACCAGATGGAGGAACAGTGACTCCATTGTCCAGCTGTTTCAAATCCATGGCATGTTTGCTAGGGATTTTTGTTTCTGCGGTCCAAGAAGCTACTTGCTCTTTCTTTTCCGCACCCACATTCATAATGACAGAATCAACTGCTAATCTAACCTGAAAATACAATTAAGTATAAACAGTGATTAGAAGTAATAGAAGAAAGGGAAAAACAAATACTAATAAGTCTGTATATAAATATTATTTGCCAAAACACATATATGTAATACAAACAAAGGATAGATACCTTTTCTGGCAACTCCACTGATGGAAAGGGAAGAGTGACATACTCTGGTAGAACAACTATTTCATAGCTTGGTTCGTACACTGGATCATTGTTATCAAATCCTCCTTCGATGCCTATAAACACATAAATAGAAGCGATTTTGTAGAAGCTTTCAAACACAAATCAAAGAGTAAAGTATAACCAAACATCACATAAAATGCAAAATATTTCATTCATCTGGGAGAGACAACATTAATAAATTCAAAACAAACTCAAATCCCAAGCAAGCTATTAGTATAAACCAACATTCAATGAGAATTACATTAAACCTACAAATGAAAACCTTTCGATTACACAGTAGAAGGAAATTTACCTATGGCTAGACGCGTTGGCTTCTTTGATGGCCTATCCTCAGACGCCAGTTTCTGTGTCTCCGTTATGTGCAGATAAACAGGGTTTCCAGTCTTCTCAAAGTTCCAACGTACATAATCTTTTCCAAATGCCAGAAAGGAATTCATATCCACAAACAACCCCCCATCTGATTTCTGTCAATACAAACGAAAATTGAACAATATGTGAAACGAAATTATGCATTGCATCACACAAAAGATAAACCCTAATTCATAAACAAAGCCAAAAGAGCAAAGAAAACAACTGCAACGCACGAATTGAGGAAAATCCCAAATCCGCCAGTCACGCAAGTCAACTCCAAGCAAAGAAAAGCTCATAAACCTCACGCAAAACATCATTCACAACGGCATACATCGAACAGAGTGCAAAAAAAAATCAAAAGCATACCGGAGTATCAAAAGAAATACAGCATTCTTCCTTGTAAATGCGATTGGTCGGCTCCGGGATCCGAACCCGCGACAGATTCGACCGCAGCGACTCCATGGCGTTTCCGATAGTAGAAGTCGCTCGCTTAGACTCCCTACCTCTGCAAGCAGCGGAAGCTTCCAGAGAGAAATGAGAAGAGGGTTTTCAAGCGATGGGATTATTCCTTGCCCTTACACCCAGTAACGTGAGAGAGGAGGCAAGTAATGGCAGCGCTCTGAGGGGATGTTGGTTGGCGTTTTGCAGGTGTTTGTTTTCACTGCGAGCTCTCGACCTTCCTTATGACGGCAGCTTTGCGGGAGGCGGCGTGGGTCACTCGGATAAGTCGTGTTGTATCAAACAGCGACTCTTCATGTGAGTATTTGTAAATTGTTTTGCGACTTTAGGTCTTCTTTATTGTAATTCGAAATTTATCGGTAGAATTAAAATATTATTTAAATAACATTTTTTCTTTCCACTTCAATATATCTTTAAATAGATGGTCACATTGTTTACTTTATTTATATTATGTTCTACGATAATTTAAAATTTTTACTATTTAAATCTCAAATTTAAATTTCAAATTTTCAAAAAAATACATGCTATTGAATCTACACTGTATTTACAAGCCTGACCAAAAACTTAATCAACAACTCTTCACACGCCTGAGCAAAAACTTAATCAACAATGGCTTCTTCATCTTGCTTCTAAATCAGAAATGCTCATTGTTCCATTCTCATATTCAACACTATTTGAAGCGAAACTTCTCACAGCATCCGAACCCATGTCGATAAAAAATCCACGCTCCTACGGTTCGGGCAGTAGTCCTTCATCAGTAGCCAACATGGAATACACAGACATCATGTCTGGTCTATCGTCCGTGTATCGTTGAACACATAGCAACCCGATTTGTATGCATCGGTTAGCTTGAGATTCGATAATTGTGTCCATTAGGCATTCATCCAACAGCTCCAAAGTATTTGCAGTGTTCATTACACATTAAGTTTTGTTAGTTTTGCAAATGTCGAAAGCCAATGTAGCATAAGAGAGTTAGTAATCAGAAATAATGTTCTTTTACGCGTGCCAAAAGACCGTAATGCTGATGGCAATTGGCAAAGCTGCGGTTTTTTTTCCCACTCAATGTCTCGAGCAATATGACACCAAGGCTAAAGATGTCGTACTTCGCCGAGAATTTTCCAGCTACTGCATATTCTGGAGACATATAGCCGTTGCATAAAAATATCGATCCATAAGGACATTGTGAAAATAAGTACATCTGTTTGAGATTGAAGAAAGCTTACAAGGAGCCGAGAACTTTTGTAGTTCTTGAAGTAGATTCATCTTCTTCGAAAGGCCTTGCCATGCCAAAGTCTGAAATTTTTGGATTTAGATTCCCATCTACCAAAATGTTGCTTGTTTTGTATAGTAATAAATGGCACGGTGGTATGAAGATTGGACATATGATCTTGATGTTAAGGGTTCAAACCGTGTCGCCTCGAGATCCTACCTCATAATAGTACTAATATTTGTGTCAAAAGCAGGTATGCAGAAAAATATTGTTTATATTAGCAGCCATTTTACGCCATATAAAAAACACCTTTTATTTGAATGGAAATGGTCAAGATTAGAAAGGAAATTGTTCAATGGAAATCCGAATATTTGGCGACTTTTGACTGCTAGAGTAAAAAATTAATCAGCTTAATCCTCGTGGATATGGCATCCGGTCAATCGGACGAACGACTCAACGGGGTTGATGTTTTTAGCTGAAGATTTTCCCAACACTACAGACTCAATTGAACAATCGCCGCATTTCCGATGATTCGTCGCCATGCCTCCATGTCTGAGACTGTTCTAAGGAAATCAAGCGATAGAATGATGCCGACGATTTCGAAACTAGGTTTCTTCGGTCCAGGTAATCGAAAATATCGCTTCCTTGTTTGTACAATTGGACAAAAAACCCTTGCCAGGACATAAAAATCTTACACTTTTGACAAGTGAGAATCTACCTCTTCCGCTGCTGAATGCAGTAGCCATACGCTTGCTTGATAATCAATTCATTTACATAGAATCTGCAAATGGCGAAAATATTTTGTAGTACACATTTCCTGTCGACAGAAACGAGCATTGTAATTTGAGTTTGTAATCGTTAATAGTACATTCGAATATTCAACGAGGAAGCCTCTTTTTGACTCATGACAGTTAATCGTGACCAGATACAATTTTAAACACAGTTTGTCTATTGTTGAAAAGTCATTCATTTGAAAAAGCCATAACTGTTTGGAAGCACTGATGTTAATTTCTCTATGTTTTGATGTGACTAAGGAAAAGGGAGAAAGTAAATTAATTCTTTTGGTCAAATATGAAGCATTAATTCAAGAATTCAATTTTTAATTCTCACATGTATTTGGTGTTCATACTGCAAAACAATCATGATCGTATAGAGTTTAATTTTCATTTGGATTCTCTAGAAACTTACCAGCATTTAAGGGTCACTGTTAGATATAGCTTCATCTTCTGTTCTGGGGCAATTATGGAGAGTTACCAATCAATTTTGATTCTCTGCTCATTAGTTCATTTCTTCATCTTCTTTAACTTCTCTTTTGGGCTGGATACACTTTTGGCTAACCAAACTATTGTGGATGGGCAGACTTTGGTATCTCCAAACCACATGTTCGAGATGGGGTTCTTTTCCCCTGGTGTATCCAAGAACAAATTCTTGGGGATATGGCACACATGCACGCCCGACGTGGTTGTTTGGGTTGCAAACAGAAACGATCCCATCAGAGATCCAGAAGGTCTCCACTTGACCATACTTGGACATGGAGCTCTTGCTATAGCTAACGCTCGGGGGATTATATGGTCAACAAGTTCTTTTGGATTGGTGTCCTTTCCAATTTTACAACTCCTGGATACTGGAAACCTGGTTCTTGTGGAAAAGACAAAGGAGAGCTTTATACAGTTGTGGCAGAGTTTTGATTTTCCAACGGACACATTATTGCCAGGAATGAAGTTGGTTTACAATCCTGATGTTGGTAAGGAGAAGAATTTAACATCATGGAGAAGTTCAGATGATCCTTCCCCTGGCGATTTCTGTCTTAGGCTAACCAACAAGGGCTTGGCCGATTCGGTAATTTTCAAGGGGTCACAGATAGTGCATCGAACTGGAGCATGGAATGGGCATTATTTTAGTGGAACACCACCATTTCCCAATCCAATTTACAAACCAGAAATAGTTTTCGAAGAAGGAAAATTGATATCATTTTCAATTCCATATGAGACCACAAATCCCCAAAGAGTAGTACTTGATAAATCAGGTTCATCCAGTCATTTCCTTCTGAATTCTGGAAAAAATAAGTGGAATCCTACCTATGCAAATCCACTAGATTCATGTGATGAATATGGGAAGTGTGGTCCTTTCGGGGTATGCACATTTGGGGTTACAATAAAATGCCAGTGTTTGATGGGATACACCCCAAAGTTTCCAGAAGATTGGGACCTTCAAGATTGGTCTGGAGGATGTACTCGAGCATCACCATTAGATTGCCAGATTGAAGATCATGATTTTTTTGAGGTTACAGGAATAAAGTATCCTGATACATTACAGGTCCGGTTAAACAAGAGCATGAGCCTTAAAGAATGCAAAACGGCGTGCTTAAGAGACTGCAGTTGTGTAGCATATACTAATCCATACATAACTGAAGGAAGCACTGGCTGCTTGATCTGGTTTGGAGAACTCATTGATACTAGATACCTTTCTACACCAAATAACAAGCAAAAAATGTACATACGGCTGCGGAAATCAGAATTAGGTAAGTCTTTATCCATAATTCCTTGGTATCTTGAATTAATCGTGGCAAATCATTGTACAATATATGCTTTTTCTGCAAATTAAGATGCTTCAGGTCACATATTATTCCAACTGAATTGTGAAATCGAAGGCATGCTATTTATAGTGCAATGGTACATAAATGTTAGAAAGTTAGCTGTGTAGGAAGGAGCTTAAGTGAAAGTTTTACATTCTCGCTCTCCTTTTAAATGTTACATTCTTCGACTCCATAGGCGTTGCTTCTTGTTCATTAACTTTTGGGAGTTCTTTAGTATAGCTTTTATTGAGAGCTTCCTACATGTCTAAATACATTTGAGAAAACACACAGATTAATACTTATCTACCACTAATGAAGGTTCATGTTTTTTTTCCTTTTAGATTCTCTCACTGCCATACAGAAGGAGGCGAAGGAGAAGAGCTGGTCAATCATGATACTAGTGATAGGAATTGTTTCTGGAGTTACTGTCTCATCTTTTGTTAACATAGGTATTCAATATATGTCAAGACAATCAAGGAAAGGTGAGAAAATTTAACCTCTAAAGCAGAGGCATAGAAATTCGCTTATTAACTTTTGGATTCCGACACTGAATTTGGTTCATTGTTTCCATATACTGTAGAAAAAACTGTGGAGGATGTGGAGTTACCTTTATATAAGTTTTCGACGATAATGACAGCAACCAACAACTTCTCCACAGATAATATTATTGGGGAAGGTGGTTTTGGCCCTGTTTATAAGGTATAGCGTTTAGATATATTTCAAAAGTACTTTGGAGTTCTAGATTGGTTTGGGAAGAATAAAAAGTTGAATACAAAATAAGTATTAGCTGAAATGTTTTGAAATGAGAATAAATTTGTTGATTCAATATTTTAAATGAAAAAACAATTTTGAATGTGATTTTTTTTAGTGAGAACTTTTATGCATAGTGAGAAAACATGTTTGAAAACATAAGCAAACAGAGGATTTTCGGCATCAAGATTCTTATTCTGTTATTTGATCAGGGCATGTTATCTGCTGAAGTAGAAGTAGCCATCAAAAGATTGTCAAGAAATTCCGAGCAGGGTTTTGCAGAGTTCAAGAATGAAGTTACCTTGATTGCTAAACTTCAGCACAGAAACCTTGTTAGGCTTCTCGGCTGTTGCATCGAAAAAGATGAAAAGATACTAATTTACGAATTACTACCAAACAAAAGCTTGAATACCTTTGTTTTTGGTACATCCTAAGTTTCATTTTTGTTTTCAGTTTCATCATTATCTTTTTGGGTAAAATTTCAATGATGCTATCTAATATGGAATCTTGTGCAGATCGAAATCGAAGGACACATTTGACATGGCCTAAGCGGTTCAACATTATCATGGGAATCGCGAGAGGATTGCTATATCTCCATCATGATTCTAGATTAAAAATTATACACCGCGATCTCAAAACAAGCAACATTTTGCTAGATGGGAATCTAAATCCAAAAATTTCAGACTTTGGCATGGCAAGGCCTTTCGAAGAAGATGAAGCTACTGCAAGAACTAGAAAAGTTGTCGGCTCATAGTAAGCTTTCTTCAATCTCAAACAGAATTACTTATCTTCACAAAGACCTTATGGATCGATACTTTTATGCAGCGGCTATATGTCTCCAGAATATGCAGTTGCTGGAAAATTCTCCGTGAAGTCCGACATCTTTAGCCTTGGTGTCATATTGCTCGAGACATTGAGTGGGAAAAAAAACCGCGGCTATGCCAATTGCCATCAGCACTACGGTCTTTTGGCACGGGTAAAAGAACATTCCTTCTGACTACTAACTCTCTTAAGCTACATTGGCTTAATATGTAATGAAAACTGCAACAGGCTTGGTTGCTGTGGAAAGAAAACAAGACTTTGGAGCTGTTGGATGAATGTCTAACGGACACATTCATCGAATCTCAAGTGAAGCGGTGCATACAAATCGGGTTGCTGTGTGTACAACGGTACGCAGAGGATAGACCCGACATGATATCTGTGTATTCCATGTTGGCTACTGATGAAGGACTGTTGCCTGAACCGAAGGAGCCCGGATTTTTTATCGACGCGGGTTCGGATGTTGTGAGAAGTTACACCTCAACTAGTGGAGAATGTGAGAATGGAACAATGAGCATGACTGATCTAGAGGCCAGATGAAGAAGATGCCATTGCTGAGATAATGCTTTTGCTCAGGTGTGTATGTACATTGTAGATTCATAGAGTGTTCTTCTTCTTATCCCCACTCCCTCTTAATTTTCAAGCAGCTAATTTTAATCCAATCCAATGTATTAGTTGGTTGAGTTTCGTATATAAATAAATAAATTAATGATACGTATCTGTGTAGGTGAGACGTGATTTAAATAATTAACATGATATCAGAACTATATGTTTTATATTGAAGTGATTTGTCGTGATTATTTGTCACGAGAGTAAATTTTTTTTTTTCCAAGAATCTTTGTTTTTAGTTAATGTTTTCCAAATATTTATATTATATTCAAAATATTATGTTCTATTTTATAAAAAATACTGCATTGATATTAACTTTTATCTAATGTTTATTATATTCTAATCAACAAAAATTATAAAAAAAAAATGTTAATATAAAGTATTATATTTAAAAATAATTTTACTACAAAAATCAAAATTAAAATACAGAAAAAATATACTATAGGGATGTGTTTAATTAGTAATTTCTAGTGATAATTTATAAGAAAACATAAAATCTTAAGAATTACATAATAGAAAATTAATTAATTATTATTTTAAAAAAAAAAAAAACAATACTTTCTAAAAATATATTACTATTCCTTAATTTTCATTAAAAATATTAAATAAAATTTTATTAATTACTGAAATTCGCCGGCGATGTGATTTTGATTTGATGGATCAACTAGTTGACCAATTATCAATATATATATATATAGTCATAATTAATTAATGGGATTAGTTTGCTCTAATACCATTTCTTATTAGTTTAATTAATATGTTCAATTTTATACTACCTCCGTTCGGTATTTTGGTCACTGTAGATACGAAAATTTAGGATATAATTAATAGATAATTAAAAGTAAAAATAATTAACTTATAGTAATATAAATTATTCTAAATTAAAATTAAAATAACTAATTAATTTAATTAAAATTAAAATATTTAAAATAAAATTAAGATGAATAATCGTTTTTTTTTTTTTAAAAAGAATGACACGATGAGATGTGGTTATTTCGCTTTCTAAATTGAAGAATTCCAAATTCTTTTATTGTTTCTGTTTAGACCATACGATAGACAGTAACCGATTTATTATTGTGAACTTGTATTGAAAATTATTTTCTGACTTTTGGACACTAATTTTGTTGAGTGGATAAGCAAATTATTTTATTTTATTTTATTTTTTGCCATCAAATAGCCTCCCTAATTTACTTGACTTGGCTCAAATTTGACATTTAACTCACCCTAGGAAGACTTCTACTGATTTAACTCCTCACTATGAGTTGAAAAGTAGTTGTTAACTCAGCACAAATTTTAATAAATATATTATTTTGATTGATTATTGAGTTTGTTAGTAGTTTGAAGAATATAAATTTAAAGAGTGTAAAAAGTTAGTTAGGGTGTGTTTGTTTGGATGATTGAATTTTGGATTGGAATTTGAATAGTAAAAATTTTGAATTTGAATAGTTGTAGGGGAAATTTTTTTTTGGATAAATAGTAGAATTTTGTCAAAATCCTACAAACAAACAAACACACTACTATAAATAAAAAGTGCATCAAACTCAAGCCCGGATGTCGAATTAGATGATTTAAATGGTTGTCTCATCTAAAACTATAAATCGTTAAAAATATTCGTAATTTGTTTATTTATCTACAAACGGGAGTCACCCGTGAATCCGAATGGACCAAATATTTAATTGATTGAAGCAATTGAATGATAGCACCTTTTCTTTTAAGATCATTGTTGGTTGACTAATACAAAATTATTAGAGTCGGGACATCTTGTTTTCCGAGTTTTACTGGCAGGGTTGACTATATAATAAGAGTTTTGAAGAACTTGATGATTTCAAAGGTTCAAACACTACTTTTAATTTCTAGGTATCTTGGTATTTGTTTGATCTGGAAAATGATGCAACACAACTTGATTATAATCCTTTATGCCTATTCCTTCGCCATTGCTAAATTCTCTATTGGATCAGACACTCTTTTTCCGAACCAAACTCTTGTTCTTGGACAGACATTAATTTCTTCGAACCAAATGTTCGAGATGGGATTTTTCTCTCTCGGACAGTCCAAGAACAGATTCATGGGAATATGGTACAGAAACACGCCGGACGTCGTCGTTTGGGTCGCTAACCGGAACAATCCGATAGCCGATTCAAATGGCCTGCAACTAGCCATAGCTAGACAAGGCTACATAGTGATAAGCAACAGTCGAGGAACCATCTGGTCGACGAATTCATCAGGACATGTGTTTAATGCAAGTTTGCAGCTAATGGATACCGGGAACTTGGTTGTTCTTACAGGGGAAAATCGCGAAAATTTATTCAAAAGGCATGCTTGGCAGAGCTTCGATTATCCAACAGACACGATCTTACCAGGACTGAAGTTTGTCGACGACATTGAAGCCGGCGTAGAGAAGTATTTAACATCATGGAAAACTTCGACAGATCCTTCTCGAGGAGACATCATTGTAAAGATCGAAAACAAAGGCTTGCCTGATGTGGTGTTGTTGAAGAAGGGAAAAAAAATGTATCGAACCGGGACATGGAATGGGATTTATTTCGGTGGCGCGCCGCCATTTCCTACTCCGCTTTTCAAGCTCGAAACAATTTTCAGGCAAGAAAGACTGATATCCATGTCTTTAGCTCATGAGAATTCGACTTTTGTAAGAATAACATTACAGAAGTCTGGTTTTATTCAGCATTTAGGATTGAATGCTCGAAAGGATGATTGGATAATCTTGAATTCTATTCCTCAAGATCCTTGTGATGAGTATGGAAAATGTGGTTCTTTCGGCATGTGCACGACCGGCGCAGGAATAATATGCGAATGCCTAAAAGGTTATGTCCCGAAACATAAAAAAGATTGGCTTTTACAAGATTGGTCGGGAGGATGCACTCGAACTTCGCCAATGAACTGTGATCATATCGAAAAACATGGTTTTCTTGAGGTTATGGGAGTCAAATATCCCGATATGTTGAGGTACCGATTAAATGTTAGTCTGAGCCTCGCCGAGTGCAGATCATTGTGCCTCAGAAACTGCAGCTGCACGGCATATGCTAATCCGTACATCACAAATGGCGACATCGGGTGCTTGATGTGGTTCGATGAACTTGTTGATACTAGATATCTTCCAAGAATTGATTCGAAGCAAAATATCTATATACGGGTGCTTAATACCGAGCTAGGTATGGTTTTTTACCTATATTTTGTTGGCTAACAAGCGGCGTTAGTTATTATATTGTTATAACGCACGTGTGGTTTAAGGGATTCTGTGCAATATTTTTGAAAATATGATAAATCTCGAGCAGTTTTTAAGGGATTCTGTTTCATGTTTTTATAAAAAATGAAAACGTTGTAAATCATGGAAGAGTATGTTTTCTAAAAATGTAGTATCTAAATTATGAGGGAGTATGGTGCAGACTTTTTCGAACTATAAGAGAGTTATCAACAATTTTACCTCAAAGTTTCGATTCGCCTTTCAAATTATGTTCATTGAAAAGAAGAGAAGTATGAGTCTATTCCGAGCATAGATTCGGAAAATATTGAATGAGGATAGCCGCGAATCGAAATTCTCTTGTTCCGATTAATTTTTTCTTATCTTGATCTTACAGAATCCAAAGCTACTTTAACTGAGGAGAAGAAGAACATGGTGATCTTGTTAATAGTGATAGCAATTGTTTCTGGAGTTCTTGTCTCGTGCTTCATCAATGGAGGAATACATTATTTGGCAAGACAAATAAGGCAAGGTAGGTAACAAACACATAATCTATTAATACATTTTGAAAGGTAGGATGAAATTTAACCATTGATTGATTCTTCTTAAAACTTTGTTAGAAGGAAGGACCGATGAGGATCTTGAGCTGCCCTTGTACAAGTTTTCGACGATAATTTCTGCAACAAACAACTTCGCCGAAGAAAATTTAATCGGGGAAGGAGGTTTTGGTCATGTGTATAGGGTAAACACACAACATTTCACAGCAGCCATTGTAAGAATCATGTTCTTAGTATTATGACAGCTAATGCGTCAACCATTTCTGCTCAGGGAAAATTATCCATGGAAGAAGAAATCGCTGTCAAAAGATCGTCGAAAAATTCGAGACAAGGTCTAGCAGAGTTCAAGAACGAAGTTATGCTCATCGCTAAACTTCAACATCGAAATCTTGTCAAGCTTTTGGGATGTTGCATCGAAAGGGAGGAACGGATACTTGTTTATGAATATTTGCCGAACAAGAGTCTCGACACTTTCATTTTTGGTAAGTCTCGAAACATATTGATCAACTTCTTGGTTTTTTTGTTTGTAGTTTCATTGATCTTACCAAGCTAATGTGAAGATCAAAATCGACGGATACACTTGACATGGCCTAATCGATTCAACATAGCCATGGGGATCGCAAGAGGATTGCTATATCTTCATCATGATTCGAGATTGAAAGTTATTCATCGAGATCTCAAAACTAGCAACATCTTACTAGATGGAAATTTGAATCCAAAAATCTCCGATTTCGGTTTAGCAAGAACTTTCGAAGAGGATCAATCTACCTCGGAAACAAGAAGAGTTGTTGGAACATAGTAAGTTTTCTTCAAACTCGCGTAACGAAGGCTATGTTTAAATAGAAATTTTTTTAAGTTTTTGAGTTTTGAATAAAAAAAGTTCTGTATTTGATTTGATATTTTGTGAAAGAAAAGAAAAATTGACGGTGATATTTTTAAGAAAGTTACCTTTCGTTTGAATATTGTCAAAAGTTCAAAAAATGTCTATGTAAACAGAGCTTCAAACTCTATTAAATTTTTACGTAGAAACCTTACGACTAATAGTGTTATACAGTGGTTACATGTCTCCAGAATATGCAATTGCCGGGAAATTCTCAATGAAGTCCGACATCTTTAGCCTCGGCGTCGTACTGTTAGAGATAGTGAGCGGAAGAAAGAATCGAGATTTCGACAACTGCTACCGCTACTACACCCTCTTGGAATATGTATTAATTTTCTTTCTTCTACTACTATCCTACATTAGTAAAAACAAAAATGTTTATCAAATAGCCTCTCGGCGCGATTATGCAGGCGTGGTTGCTATGGAAAGAAAACCGATCTCTCGAGCTGATGGATGACTGCCTAAACTCGACTTCTATCGAATCCCAAGTCAAGAGATGTGTACAAGTTGGTTTATTATGTGTTCAAAAGTTTGCCGTAGATAGACCGGACATGATATCGGTATGCTCCATGTTAGCGTCCGATGAGGCGATACCGGTCGAGCCCAAGGAGCCGGGTTTTTGCGTCGAAACGAGGCCTACTTTAGTGAGAAGTTATGCCTCAGCAAGTGTAAATATGGAGAATGGAAGAATGAGCATTTCTGATGTAGAGGCCAGATGAAATGAATGGCCTCTACTGTTATTCTTTTGTAGTTTGATTTTAGTTTTTTGTTTGGATAGTAGTTTTGATGTGATTATAAGATAAAAGAATGTACTTCTATTATTAGAATCACAATAGTTTAGTTGTATAGTGAAAAAATATCAAACTTTAAAATAATATTAATACGTATACTTTTGTGAAAATTATAGTTGTGTTATGTAATAAAAGTATATAACATAATGCTCTATGGAAATATATGTGTTATGTTTTTATGCATCCACGATGACAAATGGGACTGTAGGACTTGAACATGGGACTTCTCGACTTTGATAACATGTTAGATGATATTAAATAATTGTCTCACCTAAAAGCTTTAAAGTCGGGAAGTCCCATATTGGAGTCTCACTATCCCCATTCGTCATCTTTCATGTGTAAGATTTGTGTAGTGGCGTATATCCCTTTGTTTTTGCTTTTTTTAGTGACGTAGAAATCCGCAGTCGCTACCCGAAAGTGTGCACAGAGAACCTAATACGCTGCAAACTAGGCCCGACAGACAAGTCACACTAGGCGAACTATGTGTGGCAAGTGACCTGAGACGTCGAGGTTTAAACCCATGACCTCACAGTCACAAGTCCAACCCCTACACCACTAGGTCATCCCTTACGGGACTACAAGTATAAATTTTTAAGAGAGACAGCTATTGACATCACTTCAAAACTTAATCAAGGAAATAGTTTCGAGCTTATATTGGTCATGATTTGAGAACGGGAATTGAATTCTATTTGAGATCAAATCTCCAGTTGTTCCTCGATAGCTCTGTGGTAGAGTAGTCGGCTGTTAACCGATTGGTCGTAGGTTCCCTGACGAGGAAGACTAAGTACAACCATATATCATATACCTAGAAATATAAACTACACTTTGTTTTTATATAACACAAGTACGCTGACCGGAACAAATCAACACAGTAACCATAACTACGATGATTTACCTCAGTCAGCACAGTAACCATCCCCAAATATGTTCGAACATGTATACTGCACTAAATCTACACTATATCTACAGGCCTGCGGAAAAGCTTAACAACAATGGCCTCTTCATCTAGCCTCTAGATCGGTCATGCTCATAGTTCCATTCTCACAATCGCCACTTGTTGAGTTGTAACTTCTCACAACGTCCGAACCCGCTTCAACAAAAAATCCGGGCTCCTTCGGTTCAGGCAACAGTCCCTCGTCAGTAGCCAACATGGAGTACACAGATATCATGTCGGGTCTATCTTCTGCGCTTCGTTGAACACATAGCAACCCGATTTGTATGCATCGCTTCACTTGAGATTCGATAATTGTGTCCTTTAGGCACTCATCCAACAGCTCCAAAGTCTTGTTGTCTTTCCACAGCAACCAAGCCTGTTGCAGTGTTCAGAACTTCTTTGTTAGTTTTTGCAAATGTCGAAAGCCAATGTAGCTTAAGAGGGTTAGTAATTAGAAGAAAAGTTCTTTTACGTATGCCAAAAGACTGTAATACTGATGGCTATTTCTAAGGCCGCGGTTCTTTCTCCCACTCAATGTCTCGAGCAATATAACACCAAGGCTAAAGATGTCGGACTTCACGGAGAATTTTCCAGCAACTGCATATTCTGGAGACATATAGCCGCTGCATAAAAGTATCGATCCATAAGGCCCTTGTGAAAGTAAGTAATTATGTTTGAGGTTGAAGAAAGCTTACTACGAGCCGGCAACTTTTCTAGTTCTTGCAGTAGATTCATCTTCTTCGAAAGGCCTTGCCATGCCAAAGTCTGAAATTTTTGGATTTAAATTTTCGTCTAGCAAAATGTTGCTTGTTTTGAGATCACGGTGTATAACTTTTAATCTAGAATCATGATGGAGATATAACAATCCCCTTGCAATTCCCATGATAATGTCGAACCGCTTAGGCCATGTCAAATGTGTCTTTCGATTTGGATCTGCACAGATTCAAAAGTAGCTTGTGAATTGCATTATTAACATTTTACACCAAAAAAGATGATGAAGAAGAAAATGAAAATGAAACTTAGGATGTACCAAAAACAAAAGTATTCAAGCTCTTGTTTGGTAGCAATTCGTAAATTAGTATCTTTTCATCTTTTTCGATGCAACAGCCGAGAAGCCTAACAAGGTTTCGGTGCTGAAGTTTAACAATCAAGGTAACTTCATTCTGGAACTCTGCAAGACCTTGCTCGGAATTTCTTGACAATCTTTTGATGGCTACTTCTACTTCAGAAGATAACTTGCCCTGATCAAATATAGTCAATGTAATAAGAACCTTAGATGACGAAAAACACTCTATTTACTTATGTTCTCAAACTTGTTTTCGCACTATGCATAAAATATTCTCTCACTAAAAAATCACATTCAAAAATCATGTTTTCAGTTCAAAATATCACATTAAATATCTATTTATATCACATCAAACCCCTATAATGTATTTAACTCTTTACTCTTCCCAAACCAATCCAAAGCTCCAAAATACTTCCAAACATATCGAAACACAATACCTTATAAACATGGCCGAAACCACCTTCTCCAATAATATTATCAGTGGAGAAGTTGTTTGTTGCCGTCATTATCGTTGAAAACTTATATAAAGGTAATTCCACATCCTCTACAGCCTTTTCTACTGCAATGTATGGAAACAACGGACCAAATTCAGTGGCAGAATCCAAAAGTTAATAAGTGAAGTTCTATGAATCTGCTTCATAGGTTTTCTCACCTTCCCTCATTTGTCTTGCCATATATCGTATACCCACGTTAATAAAGGATGAGACAATAGCCCCAGAAACAATTCCTATAAATATTAACATGATTGGCCTGCTCTTCTCTTTCACCTCCTTCTGTATGGCAGTGAGAGAATCTAAAAGGCAAAAACACAGAACCTTCATTAGTGGTAGATAAGTATATTATTATTTGACTACCATCACTCGTTCAAAGAGTTGATCTATATTATTCATCTGTGTGATTTCACCGACGTATGTAGACATGTCAAAACTCATCAATAAAAGCTATACTAAAGAACTCTCAACAGTTAGTGAACAAGATGCACCGGTTATGGCGGCGAAGAATGTAATCATTTAATAGGAGAGGGATAATGTAAAAATTTCATATAAGCACCTTCCTATACATAGCATGCCTTTGATCAAACAATTCAGTTGGAATAATACATAATATATTACCTGAAGCATCTGGTTTTGCAGAAAAAGCATACATTAAACAATAATCTGCTACGTTTAATTCAAGATACCAATGGATAGTGGATAACACTTACCTAATTCTGATTTTTGCACTCGTATGTAGATTTTTTGCTTGTTATTTGGTGTAGAAAGGTATCTGGCATCAATGAGTTCTCCATACCAGATCAAGCAGCCAGTGCTTCCATCAGTTGTGTATGGATTTGTATATGCTACACAACTGCAATCTCTTAAGCACGTCGTTCTGCACTCGCTAAGGCTCATGCTCTTGTTTAACCAGACCTGTAAAGTATCAGGATACTTTATTCCTGTAACCTCTAAAAAATCATCATCTTCAATCTGGCAGTCTAATTGTGATGCTCGAGTGCATCCGCCAGACCAATCTTGAAAGTCCCAATCTTTCGGAAACTTTGGGGTGTATCCCATCAAACAGTTGCATTTTATTGAAACCCCGAATGTGCATATCCCGAAAGGACCACACTTCCCATATTCATCACATGGATCTTGTGGAGCTACATAGGTCGGATTCCACTTATTTTTTCCAGAATTCAGAAGGAAGTGATAGGCTGAACCTGAATTATCCATTGCCAGTCTTTGTGAAGTTGAAGTCTCATATATTATCGACATTGTTATCAATTTTCCTTCTTCGAAAACCAGTTCCGGTTTGTAAACTGGATTGGGAAACGGTGGTGCTCCACTAAAACAATGCCCGTTCCATCCTCCAGTTCGATATGCTCTCTGTGACCCCTTGAAAAGTACCAAATCAGGCAAGCCCTGGTTGGTTATCTTAATACAGAAATCACCAGGGGAAGGATCATCCAAACTTCTCCATGATGTCAAATTCTTCTCCTTACCAACATCAGGATCATAAACGATCTTCAGTCCTGGCAACATATTGTCCGTTGGAAAATCAAAACTCTGCCACAACTGTATAAACCTCTCATTTGTCTTTTCCACAAGAACCAGGTTTCCTGTATTCAAGAGCTGTAAAATTGGAAAGGACACCAATCCAAAAGAACTTGTTGACCATATAATCCCCTGAGCATGACTTATAGCAAGACTTCCATTTCCAACTATGGCCAAGTGGAGCCCTTCTTGATCTCTGATGGGATTGTTTCTGTTTGCAACCCAAACAACCACGTCCGGCGTGCTTGTGTACCATATCCCCAAGAATTTGTTCTTCGATATCCCCGGGGTAAAGAACCCCATCTCGAACATCTGGTTTGGAGATACCAATGTCTGCCCATCCACAATAGCTTGGTTAGCCAAGAGTGTGTCCAGCCCAAAAGAGAATTTAAAGAATGTGAAGAAATGAAGCAATGAGCAGAGAATCAAAATGGATTTGTAACTCTCCATAATCGCAGCCAGAATAGTGAACCCAGGGGAAGATTCAGCTGTATCTAACAGTCACCCTTAAATGCAAATACAAATTAAACTATGAAATCCTTCATAGTTGAAATGCTTCACAGTTGACCAAAAGAAATAATTCCCTTTTACGTTTTCCTTAGTCACGTCAAATCATAGATAAATTATTACTATATCCTTGATTCCAAACAGCGTATGGCTGCTTCAAATGAATTGACTTTTCAACAATACATACGCACAAACAGTTTTTAACCACTAAAATTGGTTCTAGTCACCATTAACCTCTTCCGTCAAATGTACCAGATTTTTTTTTAATTTTTTCTAATCGAGGTTAGGGTTATCTATTCAATCGCACAGACAAGGAAGCGAAATTTTCGATTACCTGGAGTGAAGAAACCTGGTTTCGAAATCATCACCGTCGTTTCGTTCGATTGCTTGATTTCCTTTAAACAGTCTCCAAAATCGATCCATAGCGATTAATCATCAGAAATGCGCCGATTGTTCAGTGGAATCTGCAGTGTCGGGAAAATCTTCCGCTAAAACATCGACCCCGTTGAGCACGTCGTCGGGTTGACCGCCCGCCCTGTCCGCGACCGCGAGGATTAAGGTTTTTAGTCGCTACGTTCGGCCATCCCAGTCAAGTCAAATTTTTTGCAGTAATAAAAAATGATGAGAAAATTACTGAAGCCAATGATGTCTGTGAAAATAACAGTAGATGGGAACAGTTATTGAAAAAATATATCGAATTATCAAAATACTGACTATAGCATACAATAATAAATAATATATATTCCCTCAATCTCATAATTACTACACTAAATAAGGATATTTGTAATAAATTAAGTTACCAAGAGAAGAAATAGATATTTTATTATGAAAAAATAAATAAATAAATAAATAATTTGTTATGAGATGAAGAGAGTATATTTTTTATAGCATAAAAATCTATTGTAATTATCTGAAACTAAAAATAAATATTGAGTAATTTTCCAACCAAACTTAATATCATGCAAACTCGAGTTTGAACCTATTACAGTCACAAGTTTACAAAATCATATAAAATCTAAATCAAATGAGTACTGAATTCTTGAATTTTTATTTTGGCTTCTCTTTATTTGTATTTAGAGTTCGAAGTACGTTGATGTGATGTTTTATAATAAAAATAACATAATTGTAAGCATTGTATTTAAAAAAGAGAAAAAAAAATCTCTAAGAACAAAGACTCTTAATTTTGATAACTTTCTTGGTGAATTTAAAGATTTGATTGTTGCACAGATGAAGTTGGATCATTGCAAATGTATCTGTGCATTGTTCTCTTTGATTTTGAATCATGAGATTTATTTTAAGATTGACATGAGAGTTTGAACAATTTCATAAATGTATAAAGAGGATAATAAAGTCACATAAGCAATGTCTATAAAAGTTAAACGAATATGATCTGCCTTGTCGGATCGAGTTTGTAAAACAAAACAAATATTCCGAAGGGTAATTCAAGATGTTTAAAGCATAGGAAGAATTAAGAACAAATTTAGTCTGTAAAACAAAACAAATATTTCTAAGAGTAATTCAAGATGTTTAAAGCATAGGAAGAATTAAGCACATGTATGAAAATTGATCGGTTTTTCGACTTACATACGAGTTAGCTCAATCATCATTCATATATACCTTCCATGAGGCAACAAAACAATAGAACAATGCAAGATTTAGTGTCTTCATAACCATACATATGAGTCGCTTCGAAAGCAAGAGCTCTCTTGTTTAAGCAATACTTTTTATTTTCTAAATATCGACTACTATATGCAAGTTTAGATCATTACATTATTCAATCAATTCGGTAAATAAGTAGTATGATTCCTCAACAAACTGTCCAATTATCAGATAATCATGAGTAAAATGTCGATGACTAAAAAGGGTCAAAATAACAAAGCTCAGAACACAGTTGTACAAGGCTATCGAATCACTGTAAAAATTTAAACAAAGCACAAGATCGATAAAGAGATATTTCTGCAAACAAGTAATCGATCGCCAGAAAACAGCAAGGTACCAGAGGTTGCTTCAATTTCATCATTCGATGCAATAAAAATGAAATCTGAGTCCTAAAGAACACTTCAAAAGCATGTAAGAATCGACAAAAGTTAGATAATGAGTTTTGAGGGAACAGGGAAACTAACCACCTCATACATTGGCCGCAACTCTAAACAAATATAACTCTAAGCGCGGTCATATCAGCCTCAACAGACAACAGACGAGCAAAAACTTCCGACCAAATCATCCGGAAACTATTGGCTAAAACAAATTCCAATTTTCAAGCCAATGTTCTATCTGTATTTGCAACCTTCAGCACAGGAAAATTCTTAGCCAAGTCTTGGCCAAATTTGCTCAAATTAGGGTCAACATATCTCTTGAAAAAGTTCTCATCCGACAGCAAGTAGACTGTGCTGAGAGAGGGCCAATTCTTAATCAGATTCTTCCTTCCCAAAATTTCCAAAACCTGAAACCTCCGCTTATACCTCTTTTCTATGCTGTACAAAAGTGACGACGGGTAATTAATAATGCAAGACATGTCGAACTTCCCAGTGGCCAAAACAACATCTTTTACTCTGTTTAACTTCTCCACGGATTTAGCGAAGATCAGCGGAATCTTTCGAAACGCTGCTGATAAGTCACTCTCCGAAAATCCACAGCTCCCAAACCTTCCCGGACAATGCAAAGGCAATATGAACAGCATATATAAACATCTTCGATGTTCTGTCGGCCCCCATTTTCTCAGCCCTTTCTACAGACCTGCTGAGATATTCCGGCCTTATCACAAAAGCCCTTGGATCAAGGTACATAAGTTTAATTATTCGTTCCATCCATATACCAAGGCTCTTCAAGAATTCAATATTCGGCGTCATCGTCTTCTCCAAATCTCAACTTAAAAACCATCCAGATCTCCTCAAAAGCTTGACAACAGCATCAGTTGTTCCTAACAACGCTTTCAGCTTAGATAATGAAGGAATAACTCTAGTATTCAAATTTAACAACACATTACAGGGCATACTGATACTATCGTGGATATGTCGCCAGGCTTAAATCCAGCCCCCTGGAAAAACGTAATTTTAGGTTTAATGGTGTTCTCAAGACTAGCATCTCAGCAGTCTCTCCATTTCAGTATCAGAAAATCCGATCTCTCGGAAAAATAAGAGGATTGAAACACATTTTTCGTGGTTTTTAACTCCATTCAATATAGAGGCGGCCTTCGAACCCGCTTGAGGAGTAATTAGGAATTTATGAACACATAAATCGGAATTGGCAGGGGAAGCAATTAACTCTCAAATACTTCGAAGCAGAGGAAAATCGAAGACAAAGAGAGCTTGATATACAGTGGCGTGGAGCGTGATTCTGCAACAAGCAAGCGAAATTCTTGCGCAGAATAGTAATCATATTGAAAGAAGAACTACCACCGCCACCGAAAAGATTAAATTCAATTACAATTTACCAAATCAAAGCACGCGACTGCTGAACTGAGGACTCGGAGCTGAACTTCTCAGGCGAGGGCTTGCCTTGCCATTGAAGTCTGAAGAAGTCGACGCCATGGCCACATGCAGAGAGTGACTGTAGGGTTTTGGATACGTGTCCTCCGTAGTCGATGCTGCTTGGCTAGTGAACCGGGCGGCCAGGCCCATACCGGTTCAGTTTATTTTAACTCAGCTAGGACCGGGTCGGTATAAAAAACATTCAGAGTTAGGCCTAATATAGGCCCATTCGAGCCCAATACTTAAGGTGTGTTTATTTTCAATTTATTTTCTATTGAATGGACATTAAAATTAGCACATTTGGTCTGAAGTTTTAAAAAAATAAATATTTTATTTAAAATGTGATAGATAGTTTAGAGTATTTTTAAAAATTTAGTTAAAAATTAAAGTAAATGAAAAAAGAATATAATAAAATTAGTGATATTTGTTGTAAATATTAATTCGTTTACTTTACCAAATAGTATTAAAATAAATTTAATGAACGGACTAAAAAGAAAAGTGAGAATTTATTTAGCAGACTGGAGAGAATATATATTTCCTCCGTCCACTAAAAATAGCTCATTTGGATCCGGCAGTTTAAGAAAATAAAAAATATTTTATTGAAAAAATGATAGGTAATTGAAAGTATTTTTAAAAATTTGATTAAAAATAAAAATAAATAAATAAAAATGTAATAAAATCAGTACTATTTATTGTAAATAAATATTGAAATGTATTGTAAATAAATATTGACTTTACTAAAATTAGCAATAAAAATAAATTTGACTTTTTTGGAGAAAGTATTTATCATATTCCCTCCCGTAACAAAAGTAACTGAACTATGTAACTAATATTACAAATATCCTTACAATTTATAATATATTATGTTATTATTTTTATACAACATATACTGATCAAATTATTTTAGTTATTTTTATTTTATTTTTACTATATTATAATATAATATTAATATTTTTACTGTGAAAAAATAAATGAATATTTTTTTTTTAATGGATGGAGGGAGTATATTATATAAATATATATTATACTCGTTTTTTTAATATAATATTTATATCAACGTCAAAATAAATAACCAACCATAAATAACAACACAGATGAATAATTAACCAGACAGGAATGAAAGGCAGCGCCACTGCCTCAACCTCAACCTCAACCATCTATAACTACTTAGAACTTCTCGAAGCTTGCATTGGATTGAAATCACTGAAACACGGCAAAATCATTCATGGTTATCTCCTCAAATTCGATTCGGGACGCCATTCATCAATCCTCGGCAACTTGGCTCGTCTCTACATTGCTTGCAGAAAGCCTCAGCTGGCGCATCGCGTGTTCGATTCAATTCCATCTCGAGAAAGGAACAACAAGACCATACTATGGAGCCAAATTATTAGGGCTTACGCATGGGAAGGGCCCTTCGAGAAAGCAATCGATTTGTACACTGCAATGGTGGACTCCGGAGCGAATCCGACGAAGTTCACCTACTCGTTCGTGCTCAAGGCCTGCTCTGCCCTGCAGGATTTAGAGACTGGTTTGAAGATTCACGAGCGTGTGAAGATGTTGCATCTTCAGAATGATGTATTTGTGTGTACTGCTTTGGTTGATTTTTACGTCAAGTGTGGGCGTTCGTTGGATGCACGGAAGGTGTTCGACGAAATGCCTGAGAAAGACGTCGTTGCGTGGAATGCAATGGTTGCAGGGTACTCGTCGAATGGGATGTGTCTCGATGCAATTAGTCTAGTTTCGGAGATGCAATGGAGAGGCGTGGATCCAAATTCGTCGACAATTGCCGCAGTCCTGCCGGCGATTGGAGATGCAAGTGGTTTGATGGAGGGAAAGACAATCCATGGATTTTGCTTGAGACGAGGTTTTGAGATCGGCGTAGTTGTTGGAACTGCGCTTGTTGATATGTACGGAAAATGTGGCGAGTTGATGTTGGCAAGGAGGGTGTTAGATGGATTGTCGTTAAAAACTGATGTCGCCTTGACAGCCATGATCGGAGCTTGTGTAATTTGCAATTCTATCGAAGAAGGTCTGAAATTGTTTAAAGAAATGAGGGTAGAGATCGATGAAGGAGCTTCGCCAATTATGGTTTCTACATTGCTCCGAGCTTGTGCGAAACTCAATGATCCGAGCATCGGGAGGCAACTGCACGGCTACATTGTGAAGTCGAGCTTTCTTTTTAACGTAATGGTGGGAAATACGCTACTTTCAATGTATTCGAAGTGCGGATTGGTGAAGGATGCAGTGAGCCTCTTCGAAGAGCTGAAAGTCAAGGATTCCGTTTCTTATAATGCTTTAATTGCTGGTTTCGTTCAAAATGGTTACGCCGAGAAAGCGCTACAAGTGTTTTATAAGATGAAAAGGGTAGGCGTCGAGCTTGAATTAGCGACGATGTTGGGGTTCTTCCCGGCTTGTTCATATTTAGCGGCGCTGGAACACGGCATACGTGGGCATGCTTATTCGGTAATTCGCGGATTCACAGCCGACGTTTCGATTTCCAACGCTTTGATAAATATGTACGCTAAGTGCGGCCGGATGGACGCTGCTAAGAAAGTGTTCGACAAAATGCCACACAAGGATGTCGTCTCATGGAACGCTATGACTTTCGGTTATGGGATCCACGGGCTGGGGAACGACGCGATATTATTATTCGACAAAATGCAGCGAGACGGTTACGAACCCGACGAAGTGACATTCATCGCGCTCCTATCGGCGTGCAGCCATTCCGGCCTCGTCTCCGAAGGGAAGCATCTCTTTTCCGAAATGAAATCGAAATTCAAAATCGTTCCGAGAACGGAGCACTATTACTGCATGGTCGATCTTCTCGGCCGCGCCGGGCAATTATCCGAGGCATACGAATTCATTTCCGCAATGCCAATCACGCCCGATGTTCAGCTGTGGAATGCGCTGCTCTCGGCGTGCAAGATCCACAAGAACGTCGGGCTCGGCGAGCAAGTTTCCAGCAGAATTCTGAGCTTGGGCCCGACGGGAACCGGAAACTTCGTCCTGTTATTCAATTTGTTCGCGACTGCCCAACGATGGGACGACGCGGCAAACGTTCGAATCCGGCAGAAGGAAATGGGATTCAAGAAAACGCCGGGATGCAGCTGGATTGAAGTTAACGGGATGGTTCACGCGTTCGTTGGCAGCGACAGGTCGCACCAACATTCGCGGGATATATACAAGAAATTGGAGGAACTATTCGCGGAAATTCGGAAACTTGGGTACACGGCGGAGTCTGATTACGTTTATCACGACGTGGGAGAGGAAGAGAAGGAGCAAATACTTCTGTATCATAGCGAGAAGCTCGCGGTTACGTATGGTGTTCTTAGGCTTAAGGATCGTAAGGCGATTACGGTGACGAAGAATTTGAGAGTTTGCGGGGACTGCCATAGCTTTCTCAAGTATGTTACGGTTGTTACTAAGAGAGAAATATCTGTTCGAGATACCAGTCGATTTCATCATTTTCGCCATGGATTGTGCAGCTGTGGGGAGTTTTGGTGACGGATCACGCTCTGCAATGCCTAAGGTTAGTTTGCTTCCTTTCTTTGTTTGTTTATCCTTTATTATATTTCTTTTATAAATAGTATATTTAAAATATTATTTAAATAAAAATTTAATTCAAAATTTTATTTTAAATCAATTTTAAATTACGATAGAATATTGAAGTCAACTATTATTGTAATTATTCAATTCAGTCACCAATCCATATCATACACCGTGTATCCAAATTTTTTTTATTTCGTTTTGTTGTTTTTAATTTCCATAACTTATTGATGTGATTTTACAACCCCTGAATATTTATTTCAATTTTTTTTTTAAATTTTTTTTTCGAAACATATGAAAAAACCATTGTATATTTTTTTTTAGTATTTAGGAATTTTTTAAGTTCTATGGTTAAAAGACTAAGAACTGAGAAAATCAAATATGATTTCACATTTTATTTAATAAATTAAAATTACAAAAAAAAGATAAGATCGATGATTCCATTCCATTACCTAAAAAACATCAGAATCTGATAAAACTTATTCTCAAACTTTAAAAAAAATGAGAATTGAACTTCTAATCTTCTGTTGTTCTTTCATTCACTCATTTGATCCTTTCGAAATCCTCCTTTGCATTCGACATACTTCTTCCAAACCAAACCATGGTTTAAGAACACTTTGATCTCACCAAATCAAATATTCGAGATGGGATTTTTTCTCCCCAAGATCATCCAACAACACATTTGTAGGCATATGGTATCGACATACACCAAACGTCGTCGTTTGGGTCGCGAACCGAGTCGATCCGATCGTCGACACTCGAGGGGTACACTTACCCATGGTTAACAAGTCTCTAGCTATACAGAATGGCCGAGGTGGTATAGTATGGTCATCAAATTCCTCGATGGCCGGCGCTGTCGTTGAATCCGATTTTACGGCTCTTGGACACCAGGAACCTCATTCTCGGCGACGAGACATGCGAAGAAGATTCGTCGAAGAGTTGCATGTGGCAAAGTTTCGATCATCCAACCGACACATTGTTGCCGGGGATGAAATTAGTCGACGACGCAGATTCGGGGGTCGAGAGATATTTGAGCCGTGGAGAAGCTCCGACGATCCTTCGCCGGGGGAGTTCGTACTTAAGATACACAACCACGGTTTGGCGGACGCGGTGTTGCTCGAGGGGATGAGGAAAGAATTTCAAACTGGGACGTGGAATGGCCTTTATTTTAGCGGCTCCGCACCCGAGCTAGTTTTCGCGGGGGAGAAGTTGATATCGATATCGATTCCTTACAGGCGAAACTCGACTCTCAAGAGGATAACGTTGGACGTATCCGGTTCGACGCTTTTCTTAGCAATCAATGCGAGACTGAAAAACCGCTCGACCCGTGCGAAGAGTACGGAAAATGTGGTCCTTTCGGGATATGCACACCGGGGATGCAAGTCAAATGCCGATGCTTCGAAGGATTCGAACCTAAGTCGCGAAGCGATTGGGACATTCAAGATTGGAGTCGAGGTTGTGTTAGAGTGACGAAGTTGAATTGCTCGATGATTCGAGACCATGGCTTTCTCGAGGTCGCCGGGATCTCTTATCCGGATATGTTGAACTATTCGTTGAACATTAGCGCGAGCCTTGGCGAATGCAAAGACACTTGCTTGAGAAATTGTAGTTGTATAGCGTACGCTAATACGTATATTACGGACGGAGGGAGTGGTTGTTTGATGTGGTTCGGGGAACTTATCGACGCCCGATACCTTTCTAGAGCGGACAATAGGCAAATAATTTATATACGGTTGCCACGCTCTGAGCTAGGTCGATTTTTTTTTTCGTTTCTTTTTTATTTTTTTCAAAACTTACGACTTCTTGGCATGGAGATGGTGCGATAGTTATAATATGTAATTAGTGATGCATATTTCTAATAAATTTAAGTTTGTAGGTAAAATGATCATTTAACGCTATTGATTTTCGTTGTTACTTGTAATCTTTCTAGGTTCGAGCATGGATTTAGAAAAGGCGAAGAAGTCGAATAAGCGCACGATGTTCATCGTGTCCGGTGTTCTCATCTCGTGTTTCCTTCATGGATGTATACATTTCATGGCAAGACGAATGAAGGCGCGAGGTAAGAAACTTAACTTTCAATCGTTGTTTCGCTATTGTTAAATTGTTAAATGATCATCTCATCTGAAAACTTAAATCCGTGGAAAAAATGCATCATTAATTATATATCACATAGTCTTACAACATCTATTATTTCTTATGTTTTTCTCTCTTTTTTTAAAAATTTGTTCAGACACTACGACCGTAAAACCATACGATGATTTGGATTTACCCGTATACAAGTTTTCGACTATAATGACGGCAACAAACAAATTCTCAAAGGAAAACTTGATCGGTGAAGGTGGTTTTGGCCCGGTTTACATGGTAAGATGTTACATTAGTGAGTTTTTTACGAAGAAACGAAAGTTTTCATCGTATACTCGGCCTATATCAATCATTGATGAATAGGGAAAGTTATTGACCAAAGAAGAAATAGCTGTCAAAAGATTGTCGAAAAACTCGAGACAAGGGTACGAAGAGTTCAAAAATGAAGTGAAGTTGATAGCCAAACTTCAACATCGAAACCTCTTGAAGCTTTTAGGATGTTGCGTCGAAAGAGACGAAATGATACTAATCTTCGAGTATCTACAACACAAAAGTCTCGACAAATTCATCTTCGGTACAAATCTAAGTGCAAAGTAGCTTTTAATCCCGTAAAATTTTGTTTGTACGATTTAAATTACATTCGGCGCTCACAAGTTATTCGATTCTCGCAGATCATGATTGTCGCGCACTTTTAACATGGCTTAAATGATTCAATATTCTCATTGGGATTGCGAAAGGAATAATGTATCTCCATTGTGATTCTCGACTAAATGTCATCCATCGCGATCTAAAAACCAACAACATTTTATTAGACGGAAATTTAAATGCAAAGATTTCGGATTTGGGGATCGCAAGAATTTTCGAAGAAGATAATTCTACGGAAACAACTAAACGAGTCGTTGGGACATAGTAAGTTCCCTCCATTTTTTTTTTTCAAAAAAAAAAAAAAAAAAAAAAAAAGAAGAGGATTCAATCTTTCTTCCTATGAACTTAAATAACCAATAATTTCTTCGACAGCGGCTACATGTCTCCCGAATACGCGATTGCGGGCAAATTCTCCACAAAATCCGACATTTTCAGCTTCGGCGTGGTATTGCTAGAGATCATAAGCAGAAAAATGAACCGAAATTTCGCGGACAATGCTCAATCTTACAGCCTCCTAGGACATGTAATAACCCATCCTCTTGCTAGTTTTTTTATACACATCATTCTCGATCTCTTTCGATGATTTTTTCGGCGTGTAATAAACAATCACTCCTTTTGCTTTTCGACAGGTTTGGATGTTGTGGAAAGAAAATAGGATCCTGGAAATAATGGATGAGTGTTTGAAGGATCCATTGATGGAATATTATTACTCCCAAGTCAAGAGATGTGTTCATGTTGGTTTATTGTGTGTTGAGAAAGATTTGGAAGACAGACCAGACATAGTAACTGTGCTTTCGATGCTAGCATCTGATGACGAATTGCCTGAACCTAAAGAACCTGGATTTTCGATTGATCTGAGGATTAGTGACGCCATTGTTGTCGGAAGCTGTAGATCATCTGCTGCTGCAATTGGAAGAACTGAGAATGGAATAGGAACTACATTTACTGATTTGGAGGGCAGGTAGCAACCAGTCAGGGTTCCATGTTGTAAGATAATGGGTTTGAATAGTTCGAATTTGTGTAACATTGATGCAACGTTTTGTCACAAAAAAAAAAAATAAAATAAAATAAAATTGTACACACATTTTTTTTTAAATCGTTTGTCATATTAATTCTGCGGCAGTTCAGAGTTTAGATTCATAATTTCACAGTCACAAATTTATCTCCACAAATCATTCGGTATTGAAATACAAATAAGTCTACCTTTGCAAGAGACACGATAGAAAATTTTGATATTTCAATTAAATAATTATATATAGATAATAAAGAGTTAGATATTTTAAATTTGAAATAATAATAAAATATTTGAATAGGATAAAGTATTCCATACATTTAAATAAAAGTATACTAAAAATAATTTAGGATGCCAAATTTCTCAAAATCTTACTATATTTGGAGTTTGTATTTTCGAAAACAAAATATTTCGTCAAATATTATTTTAATACAAAATTCAAATTAATTTTGTCCAAACCCATCCAAAACAATCACACCCTTACCTTATTAAAAAGTGTCTTCAACATTACATCATCCTTACGTAGCCACTGTATCATCACATTTTTGTTGTTCTTATTCTTATCCTTATTATTAGTATTATTTTGCGGTGAAGTGGCTGTTTGGTTGCCCACTTGATATCAATTTTTTATAATTCTTAGGAGTATTTATTTTTGTTATAGAAAAGTAACATGTTTTTTTGAGTTTTTTTTATTATTATTTTTTATTTAAATAGTAATTTGAATATAATATTTTGTTAAAAGAATATATATTTTATAAAAAATTATTAATTATATAATAAAAAATTAAGTTAAATTCCAAAACAATAAAATATTGACTGTAAAACATTTCATTCTCTTCTATATTTTCCTCTATCCGATTAAATTATGTACATTTGGTTTTTAACACAATAACACAAACACTACAAAGACTAGAAAATAATAATAATAATAATAATAATAATCTAATATTAAAATAAAATAAATAAAAATAGAATGACACAGAGGTGAAGGTGAACATATGCTACATCAAGCAGGCTATTAAGTTCGGCCAAAAATTTATCCAGTGTGCACTTTCATGGTTTCAGATTCTACATGATTAGCACTGTGGGTATATACGTAGTTTGACACGTGCGATTTGTCTAATTCCATACTTATTACAGTTGTGTTCGGTATGTATTAACTACTATCGAATTAAAATTAATTTATTTTAAGTTGAATCAAATTAAAAGTGATCAAAAATTATAATAGAAGCAAAGTTGATTTTTTCCCTAAATATAATTTTTTTTATTAACTAAATATACACTCCATTTTAATTTATACATCAATCCAAATTCAATTTTAAATAATAAAAAATTGAATTTTCAATCCAAAGAATTTCATTGGTAAATTTTTTTTTATATTTCCAATAACAATTTGAATTAATATTTTATAAAAAGATAAATATTTGAATATTAGTTACTATATCAAAACGTAGTATAAGTTTAAAAAAAATGCAAAAATATTTTCATAAGTATTTTATAATACTAATAGAACATTTATACAAAAAAAAAAAATTATATAAAATATAAAAATATTTTTAATATTAAGTGTAATAATGCAAAAAGTAAATATGACTTGCAGGCGACAGAAAAATAAAATTTTTAAAAATAAACTTGGAAAGAAGACACGCTAAAAACAACCCCAAAGTGAAAACATACTGCGTGACGACACAATGATTAGTTTGAGGAATGTTAAGTAACGTCGCACGACATCGTTTTAAGGGCTCCGACTCATACGCGTGGGAGCCACCCTACCGCACGCGCACCAGCATCACGTTGACTTGTTTTTCCTCTCAAAAAGTCAAAATTGAGAGCGACGACGTCGTTTCTGAGTCACACACTCACCACCACTAACTCATCCCATCTTTCATTCCTTTTCTTCATTTTTTTTTTTCTTTTTATAGTATTCTATTATTAATAACAATAATAATTAATATTATATGCATCGGTGGAAGTTGAATTTACTTCTATCCGTACACGACTATTAATAGGAATATAACTATCGATTTTATCGCAAAAGTGCCAATTGGATAAATCTCCGATCGAACTTAATATTCTGTAAATTAAACTCGATAAGACAAGTAAGATTAAACGAACCATATGTGGCATATGAACCTGTAGATGTTAAAGTTTAAATCTATGACCTCACGATCATCGATTTTATCCTTATTTATACTATAGACATATACAACATAATATTCTTCTTTTATAAACACCGAGTTCATCTTCATATAGTAATATATAACCGTAACGTCATAAGTTCAAATCCTGTTTATATTTACGTTATAAGTTTAAACCCTATTGATGGCTTATCATAAAAATGATATACTCCCTCCGTCCCGAAATTAAGTATCTATTTGCTTTTTGCACGTAGTTTTAGAAATATTAATATTATATTAGGATATAGTAGAAATAAAGTAGAAATGACTAAAATAACTTTATTAGTACGTGTGATATAAAGGTAATGGCATTTGTGTAATATATTGTAAGTTGTAAGGGTATTTGTAATGTTATGTAGAAAGTACAATTACTTAAAAAAAAAAAAGAAATAAATACTTTGTTATAGGACGGACTAAAATGAAAAAAATGGATACTTTGTTATAGGACAGAAGGAGGATATTGTTGGGTGCAGATCCAAGTTTCATATGAAAATTGTAAAGAAAATTTCTTAAGTTCCAAATAAACTTTACTAGTAAGAGGTTTTTGAAACAAGTTCAAAAACAAATCTGCTCGAAACGGACAATATCATACTAGTATTGCGACTAACCAGTGTCAATATATACAAATTTTTTAATGTAAGTGACTCAACTTGGGTAATATACAAACTATCGCACTCAATACAAGATTTATATATTATGCATTTGATAAATTGTAACAGCAAATTTTTTTATTTTTTATTTAAATATCTATAATAATAATAATAAAGGTATGATAGCGTTAATTTAATTAATGATGGGATTTTGTGAATGTTTGTGTAGTGGCATTAGTCAGTGACGTTGACTCCACCACTATTATTTCATCATCAAGGCAAGAACGAATTGTGCAGTACAACGTTGACTTAATCCAATTTTGTCTGCGCCGGCGCTGTGTAATTGCAATGAATTTGGCTACCTTGATATATGTGACTGGTTTCAAATTGGAGTTGTAGTTGGAGTTTTTTTCTTTTTTTTTTTACATAATAATATAATATATTTTTTTTTATGACCTTGGAATCAGCAGCCGTTACAGAAAGTGAGCATCGGGTAACTTAATACCCTACAAACTAGGTCCGACAAACAAGTCATACTAGAGGAACTCATGACCATTAAAAAAATAATAAAAAAAAAATAATAGGTTCACTGTACTAACTTGGCCTTATGCCCTTATTATATGCTTTCTTATTTTTAGTAGAAGTGAAATTTTAACAAAATAATAATAATAATAATAAAATTGAATAATAATAATTAAGAAAAAAAAAAAAAAACCATAAGAAGGATAAAGGGATAACAAATAGTATATCATTATCGTTATTTGAATTTATTTTATACATTCTTATTAATTAATAAAATATTATTATAAAAACTGAAAATATATAGTAAATATTGCAGACAGGGAGAACAAACAAGAATGTCTAATAAAACTTGTAATTGGTTAAGGCTTTGGCAGGGAATTTGCTTTCAAGATGACCTCTCCTTTTTCTTGTCAAATCACTCTTCACAAAATTCATTTAAAAGTCAACCACAAAATCTCTTTTATGTATAAATAAATAAATTAATAATCACAGATATTATCATATACATATAGAGTGAGAAAATTACATAGAGAAAGAAAGATCATCATCACCGAATTATACTCTGAAAACTCTCTGACTTCTCTGAAGCATCGATCAATCCATTTCTTCAATTCCCAAATTTTAATTTTTCGACAACAGTAATTATTCTGGAGAATTGAAGCTTCGCAGCTATGGCGGACGACGAACAATTTCCGCTGGGAACCGGAAACTGGTGGGATCATTCATCAAGGAACAGGTTCGAAAACAATCCGGGAACGTCGGCGCCGCCGCCGACCTCGATTTCCACGACGCTTAATGCCATCGCCAGCTTCGGATGGCCGCCGGAGATGGTCGATATGAAATCCGCCGGCGGTGGAGTTTTGGCCGATCCGATGATGAAATTAGGGCTTTCTTCTCAAACCATTGATTGGAACCAAACGTTTATGTAATTTTCCCCAAATTTGTATTAATTGTGTTTTTTAATTTTTTGATTTTTAATTTTTAATTTTTTTTTTTTGGAATAGGAGAGGTGAAAAAGGCGATCATGGAAGTTTCCGGTGTTTACTTCAGGAGGACATGAGTTCCGCGAGCAGCAATTTTCCGGCGGCGGCGGCGGATTCCGGCGCCGCTGCGTACGGTTTATTATTGCCGGAGCAGCAGGCTCCGAGCTACCAGAACCGGCCGCCAATGGCGGCGTACGCGGCGGCGGAGCTGCCGCCGTGGAGCAATAAATACCCGCCGTCGTCGTTTCTGAGAACATCTCCGCCGAAACAGACGCCGCCGGCGGGAGGCGGCGGAAGCCATTTGCATTTCACGAACAATACTCCATTTTGGAACGCGTCCGCCATGGCCGACGGTCGATCGAGCTTTTTCCCACCTTTACAAAATCAGATTCCCTCAGCTAATTCGACATTCGACGATAAGCTAAAGGTCAGTCCCAAAAATCAATAAATAAATAAATAAATTCTATGATAATACTTCATTAATTCATTACACACTCTTGATCTAGGGTTTTCAATTATCCTTAAAATTTCCAAATTTAATTCTTAAAAAAAAAAAAAAACATCAATATTATTGTAGTATGAATTTTTTAGTTTATTTCCTATACAATTTTTATTATTCACTATAAAATAGGATGCTTTCTTTTCCTTTAAAGATAGTTGTTTTTTGCCCATATTATAACTATCTATATAAAAATTATTGATTTTCTTGGTTAGATACAAATGAAGGCACAATTAGCTTTCAAAAAATAATTGTGATAATTAACTATAAGTATAATTAAATTTAGAACACATCTGAAATGAGGGAATCAAGTTCTTCGACGAGCAAGAAAAACAGCGGCGAAACATCGAGCAAAAGGCCGCGGAACGAGAGTCCATCGCCATTGCCAGCATTCAAGGTATGGAGATCGATCGATCGAATTTTTTTGTTCTTGATTATTCAAATAATTGAATTCAATAATGAGATGATTAATTTGTACATATATTTTGTTTGTTGTTAGGTGAGAAAAGAGAAGATGGGAGACAGAATAACAGCACTCCAACAATTGGTTTCACCTTTTGGAAAGGTATATATGCAATACATATATAGATTATATATATATAACTTCTCAAAAAATTTCATCACTTTTCAGCAAGTGGATTCCAGAAATTCAATCACCTTTTTATTTATGAGATAAATATTATTTTAGTCTCGTTCGCACTTTTTTATTTTATTTTTTTGTCATTTTGGTTCATTAGCCGAAGCTTATATAGAAATCGTTTACACATAATCTTCGATATATATTTGGTGCTAGAAATTGCTCACAAGATTAGTTTATGTTAGTTTCGGTATTATATCATGACACGTGACAATATTTCAGTTAGTTGCAACAAACCTTTCTATAATGAATTAGTTATCGAACTATTTTTATATAAATTTTATTTGATAGACAAAATTAATAAAGGGTACTAAAAATCCATTTATATCTTTATTTAGTTTTATATATATATATTTTCTTGATTATTTTTGTGTTAATTTGTTTCACAGACTGATACAGCTTCTGTTCTGTCTGAAGCCATTGAGTACATCAAATTTCTTCATGATCAAATCAGTGTAAGTCAATCCTTTGAACAACAGTTTATACAGTTTGCTTACAATTTTTTCTTCACAAAATAATTAAATGGTGACAAGTATCATATCACTTTTTGCTATCAATTTTTTAAAAAAGAGATTTTGGAATTTTATAGAGATCTTTTCGTTACATATATATATATATATATAAAGGGAATAATCATTTTTTATGTGATTTAATTATACAGATAAATTTTAGGGTTTGTTAGATTTTGATTTGAGATTGAAATTTTTATTTGAAATTTAATCTAATGAACAATGGGAATTGAATAGTATTTATTCTAATTTTAAATCAAATCTAAATAAACCCTTGGTTTTGCAAGTTTCAACTATCGATAATTTTGATCCTATAACTCTGATGTTACGTAATGAGATAGTTTGATGGTGCGATGATGGACTTGTGATTGTGAAGTTATGAATTCAAATCTCAATTTTTATTTTTTTTCAGGTCTTATCTGCCATCAAAATAATAAAATTGTTGATTACAAAAACACTTTTTTGAAAAAATAAAATAAAAATAAAAACTATTGGTACAAAGATTGAAAGTTTGAAACTAATCATATTTGTAGAACCACACATTCTTCCTTTGGCATCAATCAATTTCATCAAAGTAAGCACTTTTCCCACACAATCTCCAGAAACAATTGGCATATTCTTTTGGAATTTTTTATTTTTTATTTTTTAATAGTTATTTGGTTGTAATGTTTAGTAAGAAATAATAGTATATTTTTGTGGAAAATTACAATGAATAAATAATAATAATAATAATAATAAATAAATAAACCTTATCAATTTTACATTCATTTTTGAAGGTTTTGAGCACACCTTACATGAAAAATGGATGTCCTCCACAGCATCAGGTATACAATATATCATTTGGGAATACAGTTTCAATTCTAACTTGCTCGTCGTACTTTAAGTGCATCGAATTTTACTCGTCATCATTCTAATAGTTTTAATCTTATGCATAAAGCTCACAGATACTTACAATAAGTGATACATAAGTGCTACGCGCAAAATTATGAAAAATTATCAAAGTAATAATTGATGAGATATATGACTATTTTCCGATTCAATCCACTTATAAAGATCAAAATGATACGAATTTTTCTTTAAATAACCAAAATTGTAGGGTCTTTTTTTTTCTTTGGTTGCAATTTGGGATGTTTTGAAAATAGTAAAATCTTAGAATTAAAAATCTTATTGATGTGATCTAAAAAAGATGATTGGTCTAATGTTTTGAAATAAAAAATAAATTATATATGTAATATTATGTAAAAATAAATGCATAATATTGAAATAAATTAATGTAGATGCATAGTGAAAATGAGGTATATAAAATACTCCCTCCGTCCCACATAATTTGTTCTTATTTTCTATTTTTGTCCATCCCACATAATTTGTTCTTTTCTTTTTTGGAAAATTAATTATACATCTTAATCGTATTTTAAAATTTAAAATTTATTTTTTTAATCTTAATTAAACTATTTTGTTATATTAATTTTAATCTATAATTATTTTTACTAATACACTTCCTAATTACTTACTAATTATACTTTACCTAAATTCTCGTGTCTACAGTAATTCATCCATATTAGATGAGACGGAGGGAGCATACGAGCAAACATATGTGTAATTTTTCCATAAATAATTAAGGGTCTATTTGGATTGGTTTTTACAATTTTAGCTTTTGATTTGAAAGTCATCGATTTTATCATACCTAACCCTAAAATTTCCATTTTATTTATTTTGATTTAAAAACTTTTACAAGTATAATATTTTTGTTATTGTGGAATGCATGTAAAAGTTATTTATTTTACCACTATGCCATTTCTTATAACTTTATAGGTTATAAATATTTTTAACTTTAATACATCAATTCTTTTTTTCTAAAAGCCTCTAAGGCTTTTTTTTAGGTGAATTTAAATAAGCTTTGAATATCATCATTGCATCCATCAAAATTTTCAAACAAACATGACCCATCGTAATGTAACTCTTTTCGTTCCACAGAATTCAAATAAGTGCAACGATCCCGAAGAAATGCAATTGGATCTCAAAAGCCGGGGTCTATGTTTGGTTCCGGTCTCGAGCACCTTTCCCATGACACACGAAACAACAGTTGATTTTTGGACACCTACGTTCGGAGGAACTTTCAGATAACTACATTAACTCGTACAAGCCCAAAGATTGAATGGAATATATATATTCATTACCGATGAATTTCATCTTCTAACAAGTGTCTAAATGCAAGCATACTTACATACATACATAGGTACATCAATCAATCTTGTAATAATTCAGTTTAGAATTATGAAACAAAGCTTGTGTAGAGATCAATATAAGACTAGATATGTAATTTGTAGCTGAAGCTAGCTAAAGAGAATTAGATGCACAAGAATTTATAAATTTAGTCTTGTACTTACGGTCAATTATTATTTTTATACCCTATGTTTTATAGGTCGCGATTTGGTTCTATACCTAGTAACAAATTAAATTTTGTCCTTAAAAAAAAAAAAAAAAAAAAAGAAAGATGATGGCGAAAAAAGTAAACACGTTTCATAAATACATGATTAAATTTGTAAATTTCCTCAATGTATAGCAGCATTTAGTGTTATTTGTATATGTATCTATGTTTGATACCTAAAGGGTTTCTTGTTTGTTTTGTAAGTTAGAAAAGAAATGAAGTTAATTTTTTTTTTTAATTATGAAAACTATATTAAAATAATTTTCTTTTAAAAAAAATTAAAGATATAATTTAATATTTAATGTATTTATTTTTATTTATAATATTACATAAAAAATATTTAGTAAAATATTATATTTTATATCATTTTCTATTAAAGATACTATATTTAATTTTTATTATTTTGAAAATTGTTTTAAGCAAATTAAATATATAGAAAACAACAAGTAAACCGATATTGATGAATAAGATGTGTGTTTGTGATTTGATTGAAAAAAATCTCACTTAAATTTTTTTTATAAGTATAGAATAATTTAGTGGAAGGCAGAAGATGGCCCATTGTGGCCATTCTCCTTTTTAGGGTTTGATTTTCTTAATTAAGTATATATATATAGAGGATTTAATTTGTTTGATTGTGTCTTTAAATCAAAATTATTCCCTTTTTTTTGTTTCAATTAAATCTATCTTTTATTATTATTATTTTTGTCTAATTCCACTTAAAAATATTTATTTTTTATTATAGTAAAAATAATTATTTAAAAATATTAAAATATCAGTACTTTTAAAAAAAAGATATTCATTTTTTCTAAAAAAAAAAATTCAAAAGCAAAAATAATAAAATTATTTTATATACTTTCACTAATTAATAATCTGATATCCAGGCAGGAACTCAAAGTAATAAACAATACATAAAATAATAACAACAACGAAGACGACATAACATGTTGAGAGTCATAATTAAAAAATTATCAATATACATATATATATATATATTGTGCATAGATGCTATATATGTAAGGGTATATTAATTAAATCTCGATCAAAAAAGAATATATTAACTAAAATTATATTTTTATATATTATAAAAGAAAATAGAAGCATATTTATAATTTTAATATTCCGTCGCGGAATGGGTGGCGATCCGGCACGCCCGCATCGGCCGCGCTCCCCGACCGACCGCCCGTCGGCCCCCGAGCCGGAAGCCGGCAACGTCTCGTGGTGCGCCAGCCCGACGTCCGAACGGACATCAAGCTCGCTGCGTGGCGCATGCCCTCCCCCATTCGGGGGCCATCGTGCGGCCCGTCGTCGATAAAAAATATAACAGTGTTTTAATATCTATGTTGGACAATTTGTATAAATTATGGAATTAATATATTAATGATAAAATAAATATATTGATTTTCTTGGTATAGACACTATAATATTATATATATATATATATATGTCTTCTTTCTTGCATGATTTTAATAACGAATTAAAGCAGGAAAAAGGCACTATGGAGGGCATCTAATGGCCACATTCAACTGCTTTCATTCGAACATACATATATATATATATGTGTGCAATTTTGTTATTTTATTTCAAAATTTTGACTTGTGTTACCTTAACAAAAATTGTTAACTTTAGCTTTATTCATGAACTATATTTTAAAATTATAAAAAAAAAAAAATCAAGATCCCATATGGGAGGAGAAAATGTGGGTGTGCATTCTTTGAGGGTTAGATAGAATTTAAATTTTTTATTTTTTATTTGAATAATATTTTATGATTGAAAAAAATTCAAAGTTTAGAAATCAAGTACTATTTAAATATATATATATATATATGTGCTAAAATATATATAAATACATATTGATCATCCCTATTGTATATGTTGGTCCGGTTAGATTATTATCATAGTCAAATTCTTTCTAAATACATTTATGACCTGTTATATTTTATTTTTGTTAATATAATTTTTTTATGTATATATCTTCCAACACGCTATCGTCACTTCAATCTCCATTAATAGAGTTTTGCTTCCGACTCTAGCGTAGCTTTGAGCAAACTCCCAATTGTTGTAAACAAATGCTACGTAAGCATCGATTCTTTGTTCATATTGTCAAATAAATTTTTTTTTTAATCTATATTATAAATAATTTTATATATATATATATAATATCGTATCAAACAAGTATTTGATTCAATTTTTTTATATCTATATTATTTTTCATGGAAGACGTGTGTATGTTTGAATGTGTTTCCTCAATGGAGGAAATTAATCTTTGTTTTCTCATTTTCTTTCAATTATTGTTAATTATGATTCAAGTCCAAATTATTTTTTCAATTAAAGAATTAATCAATAATTATACTTTACTATAAAAATTTATCAATAAATAGGCTTGAAATCTCTAATACCTTAGCAAGCTTATATTTACTATGAGTCCTCCGTTATTCAATTTTGTGCTTATTTCATTGGATACAGATTTTAAGAAAAATATGTAAAAATAGAAATTGTACTTTTTTTGGTAAAGAAAAGTGGTATTTTTTTACTAAAAAGGAAAAGAGAAGAAATTTGAATGATGACCAAAAAAGAAAAATGAGAATATATTTGGATGACGGATGAAGTACTAATATTTTAGATTATATAGTAGGTTACTATAATCATATCATATATATATATATATATATTGATTATATATAGGGGTGAGCAAAATATCCGAAATCCGAAAATCCAATCCGAACCAAACCGAAATTTAAAATTTGGTTTGAGTTTTTCGGATTTGATCGGATTGAATTTTTAACAAATTTTGGATTTTCGGATCGGATCGGATCGGTGTACTTAAAATCTGAACCAATCCGAAATCCGAAATATAATATTTTAATATATTTTTTTATTATACATATTTAATATTATATTTTAATATAAAAAACTCAAATTTATTAATTATATTTTAATATATTTAATTTTTATATATTATATATATTTAATATTATAAAATAATAATAAATAAAAAAATTTAAAAATTAAAAAAATATATAAGTTGGTTCCACCAAACTTACAAACTACCATATTATATTGGGTCAAACTATGGTACGTTCTTTTAGTAAAAAATATATAAATATTTTTTAAAAAAAACTAATATATTATATACATTTATTATATTTGATTATGTATACAATTTTTTTATATTTCATATATGCCAAGTAATATTTGATTAATGAGTCCATACAAAGTTCATATTAAAACCCAGACTTTTGGGTCAACCCAACCCACTAGACAAATACTTACTATCGATTTGTTTGTTTTGTATTTTTTTTTAATGGTATGACCTTCTAAATATAAAAAAAAATATATATATATATATAAAATATTAACACAGTATATATACAATTTATTCGCTTATAATAATTTAATAAAAAAATATTATTTTTTATATTATCGATATTATTATTCCTATAAACATAAAAAATATATATATAAAAATACAAAGAAAACACACTTATGTATCCCTCCAATTTCTTATTATTTTATAGCAAATATATTTGGCTTTAGCCACTATATAGTAATCAATTTTTTTATATATATCATACTCTCTCCGTCATCCAATTGTATATTCATTTGATCGAACACATATTTTAAGAAAAATATGTAATAGTAGAAATTTTTATTTTTTTTAAAAGAAAAGTGTTTTTTTTACTAAAAAAAATAAAACAGAAATAAATTTGGATAACAACCGAAAAATAAAAGTAAGAACAAATTTGAACGAAGCAAGGAGTAATAAGTTACCTCCATTATATATATATATATAATATGCATTCACATCATATTAAATTATCATTGTATTTAAAAATATTATTTTACTAAAAAATTTTAGATGAGATGCTCATTGACGCAAACAGTTTTATAAGATTGGTTGAACTGATTCATAGAAACAATTTTGTTTGAAAAAAACATTTACTTTTCTTTTTTTTAAATTGGTGAATTTAAATTGATTGATTATAGTACTAATGTCAATAATATGCATATTTGTTTTGAATACTAATTTTAAAAAACTTTAAAATTAAACATATTTGTTTTATATTGACCTGTGAAGTGAGGCAATCTATAATATTGACACGTTCAGCTAAATATTACAAGCATAATCAATTTTTGGACTCCAAAAATGTCAAAATTACTTGCTTGAGGACCATGGGTTCTTACATTTATATATATATATATATTTATATAAACACACCATTATTACTATTTTTCGATGTCGCTAAGAACAGCGCCATTGTGCTCCGTTGTCGGGAGATTTTCTGTTAAAAACAACACCAATATGTTGATTACTCCTGTTGAACTATCAATCCGATGTTTTTTTTTTTTTAATTATTATCTGTTGTCTTAGAATTTAGAAATATAATTAGAAATAAAAAAAAATTGATTATTGAGATATTTTAGATATTTAGATTTAGTATATTTATATCTATATTTGATCTTATTCATAGATTAGATTATTTAGATTTGAGTTTATCGAATCTGTTTTATATTACCTATATACATAAGCTCCTTATTTTGATGATCAATAACACAATTTTATTATTTTTCCCCAAAATTTCTAACATGGTATCAGAGCCTATTGAGTCTATTTTTCTCATGCAGTAGGTTTAGCCTACCAACGCGTGTTTCTCCGGGTACATTCAACCTGGATTGTACCCGGAGGTCTTGTGATTTTGAGATCATGCCTTTGCAAGTTATCTTTTTGCAAATCTGTCTCGTCTTGTCTCCGATATGTCATCTGTCCGCTGCTTGTTTGTTGTCTGTGTGCAATCTGAAATCTTCGTTGCTTGTCTGTTGTCTGCGAGCGATCTGAAACGATCTGCCATATGTCCGTTGTCTATCTGTTGCTGCGTGCGATCTGTCATATGTCGTTGCCTATCTGTTGCCTACGTGCAATCTGCCATCTTTCTTGCTTGTTTGTTGCCGAAAATCTGTCTACGATTTGCCATATGTCCGTTGTTTGTCTGTTACCT